ATACTTTTAAAGAGAGAACTGTAGATATTTCCCTTTGTATATACCTGTAATCTCGAGTTATGAGAGAGGGAAGTGGTTATGACTCTGGAGAGGAAGAGGAGATGGCAGCAACACAGCATGCTCAATCTGAAGTAGCTTTCTGTCTTTTTTTTTCCTGTAGAAAATTCTTTGGGAGTATATGGCAGTAGCAGACTTTTCCTAGTTGGCAGTTCAGTGTTCTGACTGAAGTGAATCATTATTGATACTCTGGTAGTTTCGGCAAAGGATAAATGGATGAACAGGCACAGAGACTTAATTGCATTCTTGGTGGAAGCCATCCTCTTTCAGCCTGCTTTTAGGTGCAGTACGGGAGTGATAGGTAGAATTTCTTTTGCGTGCCTGTTGTTTTGTTTGGTTTTGGGGTGGTTTGTTTTTGTTTTTTTTTTTTAGGAGTGAGAGAGAAGAGTAAAAGATCTAGGATTATCTATTTTTATTATTAAACTTAGGGACTGACAGTAAATTTGAACATAAAACTAATAAGCAAAAATTGAAAGACTAAGAAGTACATTTAAAAAAGCCCCACTATCTTATTGAAGATTTTTGTCCTACTGAAGATGGGAATTGATTTTTCTTTGATTTTTCTTAAATAATCCTGTCATGTAAAACTTATTAGGGATACTGAAAGCTTGCTTGTAAGCCTCCACAGGTGTGAGTTGTTTCTCACTTCTGTAAATGAGACCATACATAGGCGCTATTTTGTATCTTGTGACTTGTCATACAAATTTCATGGTCTTAGAGCCTGTATTTTTCTGTTACTTCTTATGAAGGCTTTCAGATACTGTTCTATTTAGTGGCAATTCTGGCGATTACTCATACAAACGTTTATCAATTACATGAAATCCAAAACTTATTTTTTGACAGTATTATAGTTACTAGATATGTTTTTTTGAATTTGGTTGTCCCTTAGGTATCTTATGTATTTTGCTTCTGTTTCTTTCAGTTGAGAAAGTAGCTAACGAAAGCCAGAAAACACCCAGAGATGTGGTCATGATGGAGAACTTCCATCATATTTTTGCAACACTTTCGCGCTTGAAAATTTCTTGTCTGGAGGCTGAGAAAAAAGAAGCCAAACAGAAATACACCGATCATCTTCAGTCTTATGTAATCTATTCACTTGGACAGCCTCTTGAAAAATTAAATGTAAGTATATTTCTGTATACATTTAAATGGTACAGAATAGTTTTGAATGTTTAGTTTGCATTATTTGATCTCTTTATCACTGCATCTATCATAATCTCTTATTTTATTATTTTGGACTTCAGCATGTCTGGCAAGAGTACTTGACTCATGAGGGTAGCAGTCTTGGATGAAAATAAGCAAATTTTCCATGCAATTAATAGTACTGATTAAACATCAGTGTCTTAAGGAAATGGTTTTGAAGAAGGAAAAAGTGAGGAGAAAAGTAATCTGGAGCTTTGGGATCATTTTATTTACCTCAACTGCAGAGAAAATTACTGTAGTTTCTGAATTATTCAACAATAAGAAAAGTTCTGGGAAAGCTCTATATGTGTGAAGTGTTAGTGAGTGGTGACTTAGGTTCAGACTCAATTCTGCCTACTGTCTTCCACTGTTCTTTGCTTTTTGAGGCATCCATTTTGTGTGTGTGTGAGAGAGAAAAAGAAAGTGAGCCACCTTGAAGCCGAACATCATCCCTGCCCCCTCCTCCAACCCTACTTTTTGTTGTTGAGAATGACATTATATACTATGGTTTCATCAGGTTTGACCTGTTCAGCAAGAACAAAACATTGTTATCAGCCCTGTTTTAGCCACAAATCCAAAACCAGCACCATATGGGCTGCTATGAAGACAGTTAACTCTGTCCTGGCCAGACCCAATGTGCTTTTGTGGCTCTACCTGCATGTTCATAAAAATACTTCCCTCCATTTGTATTATGTTGAGCCAACTGGTCAACAGCAGTGAGAAGTGAGGGCAATTGTGAACAGCTATGCTGTTGTGTAATTATGATTTAAGTAGAGATGCTCAGGTGCTTAGTGAGTTTATCTGAAAGATCCAGTATTTTCCCAGGCTCATTAATTGAGGATTTTGAGGGTGATTATTAGTTATAAGGTTGCGAAGAAAAGCTTGATTGCTTCTAGAAATGACTGATTTAAGTTTTATGCTAGTACTTGGAGCACTCTATTGTTGGGCTGTGTTTTAATGTTTATAGCTGAGCACTACTTCATGCCCAGTTAAAAAACAAAAATGGGGGGAACACAGCAATCATGAAGCGGAATCAAGGCTTAACTGCATATATCCTTGTCAAATTAAGTTAATTAGTTTAGGTTTGTAGTAGTCATTAATGCTGTTATTTGTTGTTAGCATTTTTTTGAAGGTGTTGAAGCTCGTGTGGCACAAGGTATACGAGAAGAGGAAGTAAGTTATCAGCTGGCTTTCAATAAACAAGAGCTTCGTAAAGTTATAAAGGAATATCCTGGTAAGGAAGTGAAGAAGGGATTGGATAATCTCTACAAGAAGGTAGATAAACATCTCTGTGAAGAAGAAAATTTACTTCAGGTAAACTAACCATAATCATGATTTAAAAACCTTATAATGTTTACACAGAGGATTTTTATTATTGCTTTTACATATGTATTCTATGAGAATATTCAGCATAACTCTGAAAAAAACCCTGAATTTTGAGTCGAGGTTTTTGGGGTATTTTTTATACTTCTGTTTAACATGGATTTGAAATGTGGTGGTAAGGTTCATAAAGACAATTCCTCTATAATTCCCTAGCTGACCATTAAGAGGTGATCTCTGTTCTGCAAAATATACTGGAAGTAGAGAGAACTAGATTGAAATGCACTGTTAACCTGATGCACTACAGCAGAATAGACTTGCAATCACATCTTTTCCGATAGTTGCATTATCTAATGTTTTTGTTATACTCTGCACATTTCTTACTGGAGTAAATGATAAATAGATTTACAAGTTAGGCTTGTTTAAACAGCTTTTTAAAATCTGAAACGTGAATTACAGCACGGTTCTGGTTCAGGGTGTTTTCTTGAAACACAAAAGCAATACCTCCTTTAGGAAAACTTCCTCATCTTTACTATTTTCTGCTTTGCACATTTGGTAGGAGTCATGTAAACATTACAGATCTTAAACTGAAAGGCTGAAAAACATCAATCTTTTTATGTAATGTGGCAACTCCATTTATGGAACTTTGTCAGCAAGCTTTAACTGGAAAATGACACCTGAACTGAGAATGAATTAATGAGCCAATTGAGTTTTGTAGTTCACATATGTAGCGTATTGTGCCAGTTGACTTTTTCTAAAGTTTGCTTTCTTTGGCAGGTTGTGTGGCATTCCATGCAAGATGAGTTTATACGACAATACAAGCACTTTGAAGGGCTGATAGCTCGCTGCTATCCTGGATCAGGAATTACTATGGAATTCACTATACAGGATATTTTAGACTACTGCTCCAGTATTGCACAGTCTCATTAAGTTCTCAAAAGGGAAAGAGATGCTAGCAAAATAGGTGCCTGTATATAAGGGATTCAAACACTATAAATGCTATTTGTTTTAAAAGGTGGATTTCCAATCGTATGTATGTGTAGTTAACTGCCATATCTGTTGAGATACACTCTGCTTCAAATGTCTTTCAGGGCAAAATGAAACAGGATTTGTTTTTCTTTCACTGGGCTGAAGTACTGTTTGAAAGCATTAATTCTGTGAAACACTTTGGATACAGTTTTTCCTTTCCCCTAATATTCAGATACTTTTATTTATAATTCCTCCTCTTGCTAGAAGCAGTAAGCACTACCTTCTTAGTATGCAAAAAGGATACTACTGTTTTGACTAATATTTTGCATCTTAGATATTATGTAAGCATTGAAGACTATCAAATATTTTCCCTTCCTTGTTCTAGGAAGTGTTGATGTGGAACTTTATGCAGTGGAAGACTGAATTGGTTTTCTGAGTTGTAATGTGACTATGGCTATTATTCGTAATTAAACTATGTTCATCATATTCTTTATTTCTGTAGAGTGTTATTTCAAAAGGTGAAAACAGAGTTAATTCCATTGTTTTGTCTCTGGCCATTGAAGTCGATTTGCTCCATTTCTCCATGTGTTGTTTTTCTTCCTTTTAGCATCAGTATACTCCCACCTCTTCTAAGCCCTTCATTCTCCTGGAGCTTCAGCTGCCAGGGATTCAGGACATAGGTTTTCTGTACATCTTGATGAAAGTGCCAAGTTGTTGGACAGAGATGGGGTGTATACAGAATAGAAACAGGTACAATAAAGGGAAACATGCAGACAGAGGTAAGATGATTTTGAGATGCAGATGCAAGAATATGCATGAATGAGTATGAATGAGAGTTTTTTTTTCTGAGTTTTGTAACAAATATGCTACGTGACAACTCAGGAACATTGAGGCATCTGGATTTCATAGAATGGTTTGGTTTGTAAGGGACCTTAAGATCATCTAGTTCCAACCCCCTGTCGTGGGCAGGGACACATTTCACCAGACCAAGCTGATCAGAGCTCCATCCAACCCGGACTTGGAACACTTCCAGGGATTGGGCATCCACTTTTCAAGGCAACCTGTTCCAGTGTCTCACCGCCCTCACAGTAAAGAACTTCTTCCTAATATCTAATCTAACCTACCTACTTACAGTTTGAAGCCATTACCGCGTGCCCTAGCTCTACTTGCCCATATAAAATGTCCCTCTCCATCTGTCTCGTAGGCTCCCGGAGCCGGGCTGTCGGCACGGGCCGGTCCCTCGTGTCAGGGTTTTACTGGAGCGCTGGGAGGTCTGCAACTCCCCCGCTCTCCCAACGCCGCCCGCCGATGTCTCCGGGCCCAAGGAAAGCAGGAAACGTCCCACCCCCCGCGCGAGGGCTGCTGGGCGTGCAGGGAAGGGAAGGGGCGGGAAGGGAAAGGCAGGAAGGGAAGGGAAGGGGCGGGTGGTTGGCGGGGCAGGCGCGTCCCCGCCGTTGCTGAGGGGACGGGGCGGAAGCGGCGGCTGCTCCGCGCGCCATTTTCAAAGGTTTTCAAACGCCGGGACATCGCGGCCTCTCGGCAGCGGCTCGCGCTGGGAGTGCCTGGTTTCGGGGGTAAGTGTGGTTCGGCCGGCCCGGAGGGAGGGCGGGAAAGGTAGCGTAAACCTGTTTAAAAGGGGACCGACCGCGCCTTTGTAGGTACAGGTTGGGGTTGCTGGAAGGTCTGCAAAGCTTCCAGTTTGAGGAGACAGGTGATGAGCAGTAACCTAATGGATAGGTTTTTCGTCTGCTGTAGTGTGAGCTTACGGGGTTTGCTGACAGGCTGCCCAGGGAGGTCGTGGAGTCTCCCTGTCTGCAGACATTCCGAACCCACCTGCTCTAGGTGACCCTGCCTTGTCAGAGGGGGTGGACCAGATGATCTTCAGAGCTCCCTTCCAGCCCTAATGATTCTGTGATTCTGTGACTCTCTAGGGAAAAAATCTGTTTTTCTAGAGCAAGGGTTGTCTTTCCATTGGCTAAGTACTGGCACTTCACAGCAGACGTGCTGTATGGATATCTAATCAGAAATGAATTCCCAGCAAATCCACTTGGAAGCAGACTTTCCTAAAACAAGCGCTGGCTCATTCGGTGTATCTTGAACAGATGTTGCAGCAGCAGCTTGTCTCAGCACAGCCCTCAGCGCCCATGGACTATCTAGAGGCACCTGTTAAAGCATTGTTGTATTCAAATGGTTGGTCCACTGGGTGCCTTTTGCACCTCGGTGAAAGCAGAACTAGGTCTTTATAGTGGGATGAGCTACGTGACCAGTAATTACAAGACAGGAACACGTTATAAACCTATTTAACATAAATGCAAAAAGAAAAAGAAAAAGCCTCTAACATATAAGTTCTATTGAATAAAAAATGCATTTTGGTCTTTCCCAAAACTGAAAATGGAAACTCTCGTTTATAATTGTCTTTGGTGTTAATGTTACAGACTCAATTAAAAAAAAATTATTTCATAGCATATAAATTTATTCGTAGTAATTTCTTTGTGTTCCATTGTTAGTGATGTAGTTTAGTATTCCACATAGCTCACTGACTGTATTATTTCTTCCACAGCAAAATACACCTTTGCTCTGCTTTTTTCATTATTACATTTTCTTATTGATAACACTAATATTGCATCTGCAACAGTTCTTAACCTGAATTTTGCTGTTCTCAGGCTGAAAGGAGGACTTCAATGTGCTAAACCTTTTCTGTTTTGCATTCTACCTGTAATGGTTAGTCTGTTACTATTACTTCTTTCACACAATGTTATGCAAATTGATTCACTACTGAAAGCCCAAAACAGCTGGATTTAAGATTCCATTATTGCCTATCTTTCATGTCAGGGTTCAATTTCAGATGATGGTGACTTAGAACAATAGAGAACAGTTCATAGATGCTAACTGTGTCTATTCATAAACATGTAGGCCTTCCAAAGACTGCTCACAACCATCCAGGTATGTCATAAAATGAAGCATGGGAATGCTGTCCCCTTTAGCAGTCTTTGTGAGCAAAGGGGGAACAGAAAATGAGGCTATTGGCTCTGAATATCTCATCAGTGAACAACTGAAAGATGCACTCATTTAGACATATTAATAAATCCTGGCTGGAAATGCCTAATTTAAACTACCATTTAATTTTCCCTTTTCTGCTTTTCATCTAAAATGGAAATTACATTTTCTTCACAACAACAGTAAATTACATGAAATATTTAGACAATGAATGATGCGAACCATTTATGCAAATCATGGGGAATACCAAAGTTATTAAGAGTGCTTTCCAGTACTTTGCAAGTTTACTTAGTAAGTTCAGTGTACCTTTCATCGTGACTCAATTGTGAGTTACGAGGATATTAAGTTTCTTTATATAAAAGCATATTCTGGATTGAGTTGACTCAGTGAGAATTATGTAGAAAGCGTGGATTTCCAATAAACCTTTTGAAGATAGTTCTTTACCAAAGGCTTTTAAGAAAGCGGGTCTCTTTCAAAATGGAGAAAAATACCTAGTGGTTAAAAAAAAGTGTGGAAAGTTCTACCTTACAGTGAACATACAGGAGATTGTCTACTGTTTATCACTGACTCCTGATGTGAAAGAATGGGTTAAACATTCTTGTTATGTTATGGGTTAAACATGCTTGTTATATGGATGTGTTAAGTGCAGTCCAAGGGTTGCAGAAGAGTTTTGCTGGACTGAGTAATAAAGCGGGAGGTAAGGAACAATGTTAATGAAGGCAAAGTGATGCACATCATGGTCTTTAATGTGACAGTAACCACTGAGAGAAATGTTAGTGTCACCGTGAATACATCTAATCAATACCTAAGAGCAATCAGAAAGACCAGATGTCCTGGTTTCAGCTGTGATACAGTTAATTTTCTTTCTAGTAGTGTTGTGTTTCAGATTCAGTATGAGAATAATGTTGATAGCACACTGATGTTTTGGTTGTTGCTAAGTAGTGCTTACTCTAAGCAAAGGACTTCTCAGTGCCAGTGAGGAGGTGCACAAAAAGCTGCAAGGGAGCATAGCCAGGACAGCTGATCTGAGCTGGCCAAAGGGTTATTCCATACCATAGAACATCATGCCCAGTATATAAATGGAGGGGGTTACTTGGAAGCAGGGCTGATTGCAGCTCAGGGATGGGCTGGGTGTCATCAGGTGGTAAGCAATTTTATTGTGCATCTCTTGGGTTTTATCAATCTCTCTCCTCTCCTTTTTATATCAATTGTTATTATAAGTGGTACTACTAGTATTATTATTTTACTCAGTTACAATTGTTAAACTGTTCCTATCACAGTCCACAAATTTTACTTTTTTTTCCTTGATCCTCCTCCCTATCCCTGTGCGAGTGGGGGGAGTAAGCAAGCAACTGTGTGGAACTTAATTGCCATCTGGGGTTAAGCCATGACAAGCGCTGATCAGTAAAATTAAAGAATGGGTTAAACCGTCTCTAAGTGTCAGTAACCGCTCAGGGAGATGTATCACTTGTGAATGCATCTAACTGATGCTTTAGAGCGATCAGAAAGGCAAATGGTAAGAATCAGTATGAATAGTGAAGGCTACAGCAAAGAATCTTTATGGCTGCTCAGAGGAAGGTCTATCAGGTACTATTGTAATGATTTCAGTTCAACTTTAGGCCTATCAAATTCCTGCATTATAGGCTTAGAGAATATGTGTAGGCGTAAGATTTAACTCATGTTTCTGAGGTTTTTATACTGCTGCTGTGGCAACTGTCAGAGATATGGGATATTGGGTCAGACAGGTCTTGGATTCAACTGAATCAGTACAACAGTTCACATATTAATTTTGTATTTCCAGAAAAACAAATTTTCCTGATGGAGAAGTTACTAGATACTTTTCGATGTCATAGTAAATCTAGTGATAGACTAAGTTTAGGATGTGAGATTTAAGTTATGGTCTGTAATGACAGAGGTCTGGAATTACTGACACATAATTTCTTTCCAACAAAGTGTGTACAACAATTATTGTCTTTGAAGACTTTAATATCTATGTTAAGCTCTCTGAAATAACAACCCCCAATTCCTCTTAGTTTCATTCCTGGACACCTTTGGGACCTATACTCCAGCTATTAATTTCCTGGGCTTATTGTGGGTCAGATGTGGCTCTAGAGAATCTAAGATAATACCCTTTCCTGTTTGATTCTGGTGGCAATAATGAGTTGAATTAAAAATTTCAGTCTTTAGGAAGGAGAGGGATTCCACCAGAAAGCTGTTGGTACCTCCCAATATTAGAGTATGTTTAGGTAACACCACCTTAAATGCCCATTGCAGTGATTTAGCAAGATTCTGTATGTACTTCCTAGCCACAGTTTCTGGAGTGCTAACATCTGTCTATTTATTTTTCTCCGCAGTTACTGCAGAAAGATTTTATTCCTGTACGAGCTGTGATGCAGTTTTCTTCTTGATGTTTCTTCTGTAAAACTTTCTCGATGCAATTAGTAAAAAGAACTTTGCTCTTTCTAAAACACGAGCTTTTAAACCAAATCTGATTAACAATTTTAAAGTAATTTAATCTTTTTAACTGATACAGTTCTTCTTAAGGAGAAGATTGGCTTAGGAGATATCCGTTTACTCTTGCACTAGTGTAAGATGTATTCCTGAGCCTAAATCTAGACACAGTAACAATCACTGTTTTCCTGAATTCAGTACAGAATCGTCAACATTAATGCAGAAATACGAAGATCTCATTACTTTTAGCTTTAATCTTTGGCTTCCAGAGGAGTACAAAGAGCATTAACTGCACATCAGGACGTTAGCTTCCACTTAGTGCACTGACAGTTACCGTTTAGCGGACAGAAGTGTGCCACTGCCTCCTCCAGCCATCCCAGTACGGTATGTAAGGGTTTGTTCTTCCTGCCATTGCTTAGTTACTATCTCAACATCCTGAACCTCTTCAAGCAAATATTTTTGGTGGCACCTGGAACAGATGCTGTGGTTATAAGACTGGTGATTTTCTCTCATCATGGAGCAGTACCTGACAACCACAAACTTGTTGCTAGAGATGTAGTGTCTTAATACAATGAGGTTAAATTTTTCCAGCCTTCGACATTAGAGAAACTTGCATGTTTTCTCATTTTATTATTAATAAATAATTTTATTTTCAAATACCTGCATATATTTCCTTAATATATTTTTTTAAATCTAGGGGATTGTGAAAGAGCATGGTTTGGATGATATCTATATTCTGTCCCTTTCATATGAGATGCAAACAACACTTCCTCAGATTGGTAGTTTGTCTGCTGAGGTCTTTGCAGCCAGTAGGTTAATACTGAAACTTCTGAAGAAGTGAGAGGGAAAATGTTTTACAAAAGTAACTATTTTTCAAAGATATTTCTAACTATTGAAGAGAAGTTTTCATGTATGTAAGAGTTAATATGCACACAGGTAACCCCAGGTACTAAGCCATAGCTATGGTATTAAGGAACAGTTTATTCTGAAGTCAAAAATCCTGTGTTATCTCTACACAGGAATCCTACTTTTCAAACAGATAGACAGAGAAATATATACAGTGCTGTTCATGGGAAAGAAGCTTCTCCCATACTGGGCCTTTCCCAGTAGCAAAAACTTCCTTGAGTGAAAATTCTTTTATCCTTCTCGAGTAAATCTTCCGCATATAATTTTTCAGTCCCTACAACATATTAAGAAACATCAACTTTACTATTTGATTTTTTTTCTCATTCTGTGTCTAAATCCAGAGGGACCTAACCATGTAAAAGTTCTTCCCTCAAATGTACATGGCAAAACCGAGATTATCATCTGGATTCAGATATAGTAGTGCTGCTCCAATCCCTTTCAGATCAGTTTAGTAATAAAAAGATAACTAATTAGTCAATTGGAAAAAACCAACCCTCTGATCCTTGAACTGTGTATTCCAGAAAATGATGCAGGTAGAACTACACCAGTGGTTTCTTTTCTTCCCTGTTTTTCGTTATAGAAAATAAATGTTCAAAGTTAATCTGTCTTTAACATTGTACACATTTTATGCAGTTTTACAAATGGTTGGCATAAGTTAAGTACTGACTGGTAAACCCTGAAAGTAAGATTTATATATGAAAGAAAAAAATACATGGGTTTTTTGAGAATTATCTATCAGTTTGCATTGTGGAAGATACAATGATGACCATGATTCAAAAGAGTCAGAATCAAACAAGAAAACTAACTGCGAAGGCAAATATTTCTTTTTAAAGAAATATGTAGATGTGTTTAAAACCTTTTTAGTTGCTCTGTGATCCTTGTTTGGTTTACTTAAGTTTTAAGGACATGCTTAGGCACTGTATTTTCTACGCGAAAAAATGCTTTTTCCATAACTTTTTTTTCTGTATTATTCCTTCTTTAAAGGACTAATGCTGTAACCAACAATCTTTTGCAGGTGTCCCATTTTTCTTGACTGTGACAAAAGCTGCTGCTTTGGAGGTGTGTTTACAATGAGTACAAATGCAGAGCGAAGGTTCACTAATCTCAGGAAACGTCTAGATCAGCTGGGCTATCGGCAACCATTGGGAGTGGAGAGTTTACCCTTGGTGGAAAAGCTTTTTAGGTATTCAAAAGGAAATTAATTAAAAAAATAGTAATCATGTAGTAGATATTGTTGACTTTTGACATATAAGGAAGAATGCTTAGTCTGAAGATCACTTTCTGTCAGTGTTATTTCAGAGCTAACATTAAGTTCCTGTGCATGATGAAGTCAAATGTGTTTGCTTAAGTGATGAGAACATCTTAAGATTTAATTTAATCCAATTTCTAGGAAATTTCTAGGAAAATTCAACTTTTCTAACCTCATAAGAGAGCAAAAAATAGTCACTGTTGAAATGTGCTTAAAGGACACACTCTTATAACTGGTTGTATAAAAAATTGTTGTCTGATCTGTGACTTCAAACATTCACATCTCTGTTTACTAATATCTCATTTAGAGAAATTTAAGTTGGCTATCTCTGCACTTTTTACAGGACAGATAACAGAAGAAAAACAAATTTTCAGATGACATTCTTAATATATTTGCCATTTCACGGCTTGTGTGATTATGAACATAGTAATTTCCACACTAATCCAGTTATATTTGGCTATACATGCAAATGTAGCTATTCTGGTTCTGTTGCTCTCTAGCATGTAATACAGATGGAAGAACCATGGGGACACAGGTGTGGAGTAGTCTGCCTTCAACATAAAGTCTTATTCTGGTGTCTTGAAGATAGTTTTACTTTCTCCATGCCTAGCTTTGTTACTATTTTCACAAAAATGTTTATAGTTTATGTACCACTAATTTCTCTTATGGTACTTCTGATCCCCGTGTAAGTACCAGTGACCTTCTGTGGTAAGTAGTGCTAGAACTTGCAAAGTGCTTGGGGGAAAAAATCATCTTGCCAAATGTCACTTTATGTAGAAAAGAGAGTATATTGAATTATCGGATCTAAACTCCTGACGTGCTTTCTACCTGTCTTTATTTTTTGTATTTGTCCTGCCTTTTCCTATCTACTTTTTTTTTTGAACAAATGGTTCCTGTCTTTCAGTTTCTCTTACATGAACGTTCTGATTCTTTGTTCAAACCCGTTTGTTCCCCCTGTTGGGGAAAGGGTTCTGTTTCTCAGGTCATAATAAACATTTGCACCTGCAGTGTAAAGGCTGATAACATTGCTAACACATCTGATGCTCCTTCGTTCCAGTGACTTAGTTCATACAACTGAGAGCTTGCGCAGTGCAAAGTTATCTGCTGGAAAAACTGAAAAAGAATGCAGCAATTATGATACTGTTTTGGAACCTTATAAAACAGAAAATGCTAAACTTACCAGGGAAAATAATGAACTACATTTAGAAATATTAAAACTGAAAGAGCGGTCTGATCGTCATGTTAAAGGTAATATAAAAATTATGATACTTTTTTCAATTCTTCCATGCCAAAATAGAATCGTGGCCAAATCCTTGATCTTCAGATTAATTTATCTGCACTTATAAGTGAGTGCGAGTGGTCATTGAGTTTGGTGCCTTTAATGAACTAAAACTTATGCTCAAACATTTCTTTTGCAGTTAAAAAGCTTCTGAGGTCCCTCAAATCATTGTTTGAATCAAACATGAGAATGTTAAAAATTTTAACATATACTTTCATACACTGAATTGATACTTTTTAATTTAAAATGAAATACTCCTGTTAAATGTGGGGGGTTCCACAGTGGGGGTTTATTTGCAAAATATGTAAAAATATATGTTTTTGTGTGTAAATATATGCACATATGTATGCGTATTTGATAATTTCATGCTATGGAAAAAGAATATAGGATTTTTTTTATGCCTGTTTTGGTGCAACTAGGAAAAGTAATAGTGAATAAGAGAGATAATACTGCTTTTCTCTCCCTTGAAGACTTGAAAGCCTCCTTAAGGAGGGCTGAACATGGAACTTCTGACTTGAAATTTCTGAATAACCAATATATACATAAAATTAAAATGTTGGAAAAAGAGAACAGAGCGAAGACTGAAAAAATTCAGCAGCTTCAGGAGAAGAATCTGCAAGCAGTGGTGCAAACACCTGGTGAGTGTAAATAATCACAGGTATTTTAATGTTTCTCTGGGCTTTTTTGGATCTGCAGAACATAATATTTTCTTCCTCTAGTAAGAGAAGTTATCGCAGTAAAATATCCAGTAGAATAACATTATCTCTTAAAATGTTTGGCTCTGAATTCAGTCATTTCTCTGTATGAAGTTTCATTAGGTCATCACTTGTGTTAGGGACAAATTTGAATGCAAACTTAGATTCAGTAGAAGACTATGAAGTTAAAATGTGACTAGAAAGCACTATTAACAGCTTTGTTTTTATTGCTGCACCTAATTTAGTCAGAGGCAGGTTGTTGACACTTGAATATTTTTGACAGGTAATTGATGTTGTGAAAGTGACTAATTGAGATTTTTGTAACAAAAATCTAAAAATAGCAAGATGCAAAATACGTCTACAAATATTCCAACCCTCTGAAAGCTTACAGTATTTAAAGGGTCTTTTGTTAGCTTAAAATGTTCTGGTTGTTACTTTCAGCTTAATTTCTTTGTAGGGTTTCCTTTTTTTTAAATCTTTTTCAAGCTGAGTGAAATAGAATTATTTTGTGAAATTTTGAAATTGTCTTTTCTTTCTAAGTCATTGAATTATCTATGTAGTTTTGGCATCTGATAAAAGTTAATAGATTATTAGGTAAAATTAAAATTTCTCTTTATTTTTCCACACCTTTCTGCACTTCATGTCCTCTGTTTCAAAGATGACATGTTACACCTTTGTCTGTCTTCCTGCATACTTGTTCCTTGGTCACCAGTCCTCTGCGATTTTTCTTTACTACATCATCTGTATGTTCTTATTTAATAATTTGTTGAAGAGTAATTGTTTCATCTGGAAATGATACTATGTTTTGCTTTTTTTAAAATATAATGTTACCATGCAATCAAAGAACAAAGTCTGCTTGATATGCTTATGATATTCACTGAAATGACAATAGAATAGAAAGAATAAAAACATTACCAAGCAATGCAGAGGTCAGTTCAATCATGAAATAGTTCTTAAATGGGAGGGGGAAAACATCTTTTATGATGTTTTAGCTTTCTTTATAAGCTAAATGACTAACAGATTCAACAAGTTTGAACTGTAAATTATTTAGGGTCTTGAACAGTGGGGAAAATTACTTATACTGAACTTTGCATGTTTCCTAATTATAAAGGTAAAGTTTAACAAAACTGATATAAACCTGCAAGAATGGTGTTGTCTAAAATGTATAAATTTTATCAAATTATTACAGAAAGATTAAAATGTTGAAATGTGCCTGTTCAGAAGCAGTACAATAAATAGGAAAAATAAATTTCTATTAAAGAAGATGATTCTTGTGCTTTAACTCCAAGTAATAAGCCTTTGGGTTTGGGCTTTCAGGAGGCAGAAAAAGAAGCATTCCCTTCAGGCGTCAGCGCATGCAGATAGACCAACTTGTCCCCCCATCAGGTGTTAGTGCCTACCCAGTTCCTCAGCCAGAGGACCCTTATATTGCAGACCTTCTTCAGGTGGCTGATAATCGGTAATGTAAAGAACTTTTTCATTTTGAAGTATAGGTGTACCTTTGATTCTCACTGTCTTGCTCTTTTTAATTGATGATAAATAAAATCAGTCTTCCCCAAGTTAAGTCTGTGTTGCTCAGGACATGAAGTGGTAGATTATTTCCCTGTCTTTATCTTGACCCATGAGCTTTTTCATCTTTTCTCCCCTGTCCTGTTGAGAAAGGGAAGTGAGAGAGCTGGGTGGGGGTCTGGCAGCCAGACAAGGTCACACTGCTACAATATCTCAAACAACAGACCCTGCATTAGTATTCCATATGAACAAAACTAATTTCTTTGTGAAATGTTTGGGTTCAGGAGCAAAGAGAAAATTCTTATATTAAATTGTGTACATACAATTCTTCCATGAATTCACATAAACAATATATTGCTACATTTCAGAATTCATGAACTTCAGTCAGAAGTAACAGAGCTACAAGAAAAACTGGAGATATCTGAATGTGGAATGAAAAATTATAGCAAACAAGTATGTTTATATCATCATTATTTTTGTTGTTGATATTAGTATCTGTACTATTATCTGGCTGTAGAAGGCATGGCAGTGTCCTTCATGTTTTAAAAACCTTGCTGGGAAGGCACTGTAGGGCTTGTAAAGTACAATTATTCTAACTTACCTATGTTGAGCCGTTTCTCTCCTCCGCTTTTGAAGACAGCAGCAATGATAAAATACTTGCCCAGTGGTTTTGCTGATATATTCTGTGTATTAAAATTACATTAATTAAGCTAAACTTGACAATCATAGTTTTGTATGTTCTTTTTAGTGCATAAGTGTTAATTTCTCCAAAATAGTAATTTGACCTACAGATATCTTCGAGTGATTTTTTTTCACTGCTTGGATATATTTTTAAAATTTTTAATAGTTAATTTATGAACTGCAGATTTTACAATATTTTAATTAGAGTAGATTGATAAGATGTGTACAGTCTTAAAGTGATGGAATTGCATAAAATGTTCCAATGTTATGTCTTTCAATATCTGGGGATTTGTGGACACCATTCCCTTTTTTTTTTCTTCACATCTTGGTTTTCCCATTCTAATATTTCTTTTTTTCAGTGACTGGAATAGTCACTAAGTTAGCTTATTTAAAAGATTTTTCCCTAAATTTAAGGGCCAGTCTCAGACATTTATATTGCAACATTCATTACCTTCACTTTAAATGGAAATTGTTTGGATTTCTTCAAGAAAATAATCTGGTGGAAATTGTTTCAGCTTTTCCCTACAAATTCTGTTTGATTAATTTGTTTTTCTTTCAAAGGAATCACTTTTTTCAGAAGAACCCAGAATTAAAATATATATGTCTATATATAAGATAGAAATCACATTTTTAGGTGCATATCTTTTTACTGAATGTTACATATGTGTTTATTTAAACAAAGGGTCTATTAAGTGGTATATAAGATAGCATAGAATTCTTTTTTCCCCCTCAAAGGTTGAGCTAAGAGACAAAGAAATTGAGCGCCTTTTGCTGGCATTGGATGGTGGGCGTTCTCATGAGGTTCTCTCTCTGGAATCAAGAACTAAAAGTAATGAGAAGCTTATTGCCCACTTAAATTTGCAGGTAATGGATTTATTACACTTGTTTAGTCAAAACTAAAAATATTAGCAATTTAAACAAACCCACAAAACTTCTAGCTCTTCAAATAAAATCACTATAGATATTAAATCAATTAATTTAACTTGCCGTTCTTTTTAGGTGACAGTGTTTCTTGTCTAAGGAAATTTCATTTCTTGATTTAAAAGTGTCAGAAAGGTTTTGGTGAAGAATTTTATTAACTCACATCAGTACTTTGTATGTTAATCTGAAAGTATTCAGCAAATTTCTGTATGATACACTGTTTTCACCGAATTTGGAAATACTTTTATTTATTTATTAATGTACATGCCATTTATGTTTTAGGAACTAACAATGGTATATGTGCTTATGATAAGGAGTAGTCCTGTAGATATTCTCATCAGAGAGTGGGAAATCTTCCTCACTGAACTCAAATGGTCCCTGCCTTTATTCCAACAAAGACTTGTAAGGAAATTATAAGCTTAGGCTAAAGATGTTTGTGTTTACTGTGCATATTATCATGCATTCAATATTAGTCTCAGAATGAGAAATGAAAAAATAGAAGATGAACTGGGGTACAAATCAAGTAAAGCCCATCTCTGGATTTATACCATCAATTCTCTGCTTTTTCCAATACCATCAATTCTCTGCTTTTTTCATCTGAGTTAGATGTTTTGTATACTGATTGTGGATGATGTACAGGTGGCATGGGAGCCACGTTGGAGAATTTATTATCTCATGTTCAGTGCTGCAAAAATACAGAATGAGCTGTGACTTGGAAGCAGTACAACTGTGTTCGGTGATCCCGAATTAGTAAGTCATGATGAACACAAATTGATTGTACGGAGAGTAAGCCCAGAGCTGCATGAGGCTGGTTTTGGACCATCAAGACTAATTGCTCAGGCTCAGTCCCAATATAACACTTTTATTCTCTGACAAAAAATGTATGAATGTCTGCATATAGCAGTATTCAAGACCGAGAGAGCTCAGATTTTCTTCTGTGTCTACAGTAATTCTGGAGTTTTGAGGAAGGTTGTGTGGAGGTAGAAGTGGAGAATCTGTTATCTTGAATCTTTAAAGATACTCAAGGCTCCCATTTCCTGGGTAGTGTAACTTACAGTGGGTATTTGTTATTTCTACTCTACATCCCTGCCCCTTTTCTCTTTGCTCTCAGGTAATGATATACTGGGAAAAACAATGTCTGTAGAGCAGAATTTCTGAGGCTGTGTTTAAGGTGCGAAATATGTTAGGGGCAAGATAGGTTTTAGAAATCTGATCTGTAAGGCTTTATTTTGATGAAGGAGTAACAGTGAGACTAAACCTATCAAATAATACCACAGATGTGGAGAGAAGAATGTGTTGTCATATCTTGTAAAATTTAGAAAACTGATTACACTGGGTCTACCATCCTGATGCCCAAGAATGCTTTCTATACAGATCTCTGCTTTTCAATGTTTTGTTTTTAGAGTAAACCTCAGGTTCAGGAAATTAGATAAAGAAAGATGTAGTGATACATTCCTTCACCTTGCACCTTCGTAAAATAATTTTTTTTTCATGTTGATAAACATTAAGTTTTAAAAATAGAAAATATTGCCATTTTTATCAGGATATCACTTTTTTACTGTGGATATACACATACTCTATTTCAGAAGATTGGGATGAACTTTTGCTACCTAGTTTAACAATGCATATTTATATTTTAATGAAAAATGTCTTTCAGGTTGAGTATCTTCAGCAAAGAAACAAAGAACTTGAAAATCGCATTCAAGACCTCTTGGACACGAAACAAAATGTGACTAGTGAGGTAGTGCAATTAAGCAATAAAAATGAAGAACTGTGTCAAGAACTGAATGAAATAGATCACTTGGCACAGCAGTTGGAAAGACACAAGGAAATTGTGCTCGAGACTGCAGATAAGGAAATAGGAGAAGCAAAGGTAACCACTAATGTGTCACAGAGTGAAGGATCTGCTCAACTTTATTTGGCTTTATGTCTTCTACTTGCAAGGAATGACCCATTGGCATGTGAAAGGAAGAGTAAAAGATATTTTTTCCCAGTTTGCTTAATATTATACAGAATTTCTCACTAAAGGATGATTAATTACAACTCTTTTATCTCTTTACTGTACTAGGTGAGATGAGTTTAGTTGAGTGGCAATCTGTCTTTCTTCTTCTAATAGCTTAGTATGAAATAAAATCCTGAGATACTTAAAAGTATTGATAGATAATATATATTTACAACAGCAATGTGTATGTTTGGAGGGGTTTTTCTCTATGAGGAGTCGTGCAGCGTTTCATTTAATTGTTGTGCTCCAAAAGAGCATTGGTGTTTATACCACAAATTTTTTGTGCTTTCAGTTCATAGGAACTTCACTACTTTATTACAGAGAACTAATTACACTTTATTTCTTACCAAAGTCATCTTCTTCCTTTTTTTTTGTAACAAAGGAATTGTTGTCATTTTGAATATGTAACTCTTAACATATAGGTTAATTTTGGTTGATAGAAAGAAATTGAAAGAAAACACAGTGAAATACAGGATCTTCAAGAAACAATAACAAAGCTTAAATCAGTAAGTAAAAATATTTTCAGTTCTTGTTTGTAGCATTTTTATCACAGTGTCATCCATGTGTGTCATTTATTATAAAAAATATCAATTTAACAATCAACAAGAGAACATTTGTAGTAGCCCAAAACTCTTTTGTAAAAAATTACTCATTAATAAATGAAAAAGCTAAAGACGCTACATCATATTGTTGGAAAAATAAACTGAAAGAAACCTCAACCTGTGAATAATTATGGAATACTTGGCTCACTCAGAAGCAAAGCATAGTGGCCCAGATAAAAAACATTGGAATTATCAACTCTTTGAAGACCAAACTCTTTCTATATAGCATATAACAAGTTCTGTATTAGCTGAGTACAGTGTTTTAGTGCATCTAGTGAACTTGCAAATACAAAAATACTTAGTTTTCAGGGCATCAGATTGTAGGAAAAACGTGCCAAATAGCATTTGATTAGCTGCAGGGTTGGATTGACTGAGATGCAGTATTGTAATGTACTTTAATGTCAGCAGTGTTACCAAATGCCATTAAAAATTATTTATTGCTTTAGTCATTACTTTTTTCTCGCATGTTTGTATCCCACTATCCTACTGGTTGGTTTCTTGAATTAACAGGTGTTAATGTTCCTGGTTTTGTTGCTGATTGCAAACCGTGTCAAAAGTAATGTTTACTTTGATGTAATAAAAACCAGTATAAAAACAATAATGATCTGTAACAAATGTTAAAGCATAAAATATCCAAGTTAAACAGAAGTAAACGGTGTTGTATATTAAAAGTTCAACAAAATGTTTAATAATTTTTTTTCTATTGTCTTTATTGGCACTTCTAATTTTTATAATAATACTTGTTACTTCAGGAGTTGTGCTCATGTCGTAGGGAGAATGAGAGACTGAATGAAGAACTCTTTGGAAAAACAGGTGATAAAGACAATCTTGAGGTGGTGTTAAACCAGCTTCAACAAGAGAAGCAAAGGCTGACAGAAAAAGCAGAGAACTTAGAAATAAAAGGTAAATCATCAAATGTAAATTCTTGCAAATTATATTCCTGTAAATTTTGAAATAGAATACTTTCCTGGTTAAGATGCAGTTAATAATACTGAAAGACTTTTGATATATGTAAATTAAAAGAAAGCTGTAGGTCTTCAGTCATAACTGAAGTGAAAACTTTTGTCATGGAGAAATATTTTCATTCTCTATGTGAGAACTGAACATTGAGCTTTTTACTGTGATCCCACATTATACTAATTCTATGGCAGTTTCATACAAGTAATTTTCAAAATTGTTATTATACTCTGTCATTGAGTGAGTGGATTCAGACTGTGTTTCTTGAGAGCTTTATCCAGTTGGATCTTGAAAACCTCCAAGTGTGGAGATCCTGCAACATCTCTAAGCAACTCATTCCAGTGTTTGTCTATTCTCAGAGTAAAATATTTTTCCTTGTATTGTTTGTAGTTGCTTGTAGCAATTAATCTTCATTGTTCCTTGTTTACTTACTATGCACCTCTGTGAAGAAACTGGCTCCATGTTGTGTATAACTCCCTCTTGGTACTGTCAGTCTGCTCTTAGGTCTCTGGCTCATCTTCAAGCCGAACAAGCTCAGTTCCCTCAGCTGTTCCCTGTAGGGCAAGTGTTCTGCTCCCTGACCAAATTGGAGGGCTTCCCTTGGACTTAAGCTTATCAATATCTGCCTTGTACTAGGAGGGGCAAACCTGAACACGGTATTTTAAGTGCAGTCTAATGAGTGCTAATTAAAGGGAAATAATCACATCCCTCAGTCTGTTGATACAGCCCAAGGTGCTGTGAGACCTCTATTGGTCTTATTCTACTCACTCATGTTTATCTACTATTAACCAGGACTCCTACATGTTTTTTGGCAGGATTGCTTCAACAGTTGCTGGGAGTTAGTCCATCCTGCATGCAAGTGTCTTTGAGGAAATTAATGACTTTCCTATACACTTGGGTTTTTTGTTTTGTTTCTTTTGCAGAACGAGAACTTGTCCTAGAAATAGAAAGAATGAGAGTAGAATATGGTATAGCCCTAGGAGACAAATCTCCATCTCGTCTAGATGCATTTGTGAAGACTTTAGAAGATGACAGAGATTATTATAAGCGAGAATTAGAATATCTTCAGAAAATGATAAGACGAAGGCCTAGCCCAAGCCGCAGGACTCCAGAGAAGGTAAAGTTCCTGCTGTCTGGACAAGCTGAAAAAATAATGGAAATACTGTAGAAACATTTAAGAAACCATCAAATATATTTTCAAATTCAGTGATGGGAAATGACTGTAGTAATTTTCTAAATTACATTCTTAATGCAAAAAGCCAACTGAGAGAAACTCCAATGAACTTGCATTTTATTTTCCTAGTCACATTTTACAGCACCATATTGATTAATTATTGATCATTTTGTTTGAAATAAATAGAATTGGATAATAACCAGAAAGAGGTTGAAGTCTTACTGTTCACTGCTTTGCTTTTTCTTCTTAACAGTTAGTTCTTATTGTTTAAATGATACCACCAATGCCAGGCTTTTTCTTGCAATGAAAATTGATTTTGTATGTATTTTTTATGTATTACTATTAGCATGAGTTCTTTTTGGTATTAATTATCCATATATTTTAATTAGCTTATTTTAACATAAATTTTATTGGTCACTTTGCAGGGCGAAGAGCTTAAATTGATCACCAGAGAAAGAGATGAGCTACGGTCCATGTTAGACAGATTTGAAAAACACATGATAGAAATTCAGTCCAATGTCAGATTATTGACTGCAGAAAGAAATAGATTAAATGTTCTTTATGAGCAGGTAAGAAGAGATTGTTTGTAATTTGCATTGAAATAACCAATTAACTTTTGTTGTACTGTGGCTTGTTTAAAGTGAAAAACCTTTATAATAGAACTTGAGTATAGACCTACTAGAATACAACAAAAACTAATAAAATATATACCTATTTTTATTATTCGTTAATAAAATTATGTATTCCACTTAGTTTATTAGCTTGAAAGCCATTATAATGACATAATAAGTTATCGTACTGGCATTCTGAAATCAGAAAGATAAGAGAACAGAGCGAAGTTAGTCTATGCTTGGAACAGTAGAAGAATGATGGTTATGTAGTCAGCATAAATTGTCACTCCACTGAGTGATTTAGGGAATACATTTTAGTTATCTAGAGCAAAATAAGACTATAATAGAACTTCTTGTTAGTGTGTACACTACATTGCAGTCCATGGATGCTAACAAACAATAATCTTTTTAAGTCTCAAAGTGAATTAAACAGGATGAGAAGAGAAGCAAAGCATAGTTTAGTTTCTCAAAGTCACGTGGAAGAAGAAAGAGACATTGCACTGACTGACTTTAGAAGACTAATGGCAGAAAAAGAAAGCCTCAGAGAAAAATTAAAGGTGAGCTTTTATACCTTCACTGCTTACAATGAGGTGGCATATAGGGAAGGCTTATACAATAGTGCTGTGTTTGTATTTGGCTGACTGTCAGTTACCCTTTTCAATAACTTTTGATTTCACACTCACTTGAGAGAGCTCAATGAATTGTATCAAATTTTCCTTGTAAACATAGTTCCTTGTTGGGGAAAGGAGGAGAGGAACACGCTTAAAGTATTTGCGGGCAAGCATGACATCACCTTGTGTGAAAAATCTTGATATGAAGTGCCAGCCACAGAATATTTTTGTGGGTATACACTACTTTGAAGATGCTTGTGTGTCACTGTTGTGGAAGAAATCATGCACTTCACTCACAAGAGAGAAGCAACAATATATTTGATGCATATTAGGCAATATATTGTTAGCTTTGTAATCTGTCTTATATTTTGTAATTAATGATAATTTAATAAATTAATCAAAAACATCTTAGGGCACTAAGCTATACATGCATGCACCCTGTAGCTCAATAAACTCTACAGGAAATCACAAATATTAATTTAGTTGGATCCAAGTATAAATATACTATTTAAAAAAATCTAAACCAACAACCAAATCCAAACTCAGTAATGTTATATTAAACTGCAGTGGTGTATTTTCAGCTAATGTTCTGTAGTTTTACAGAGAGAGCTTTGCAGTTGCTCATTCATCAAAGAATGTAAAGCAATGTTTTCTTAAACATGAAGCTTAAATTTCTATGATTAAATCTAAAAATGTCTACCTTGTTACATGTAATTCTATATTTCTATCTCAGATTCAGCAAGAAGCAGCAAACCTTGAAAAATCAAAGATGCAGCATGATATTTCAGAACTAGAGAATAACATTCAAGGAGTAAGTGTGTTTTTAGGAAGTAAGCTTTTATTATTTCTAAAATAGGATAGTCTGTTCTAGCAATTAATTTTACTAACTGTTTTCAACTTAAATTTATTTAAAAGCCAAGCTGTGATAGCTTTCTGCAAAAATAACATTTGGTTATTTATTTTAAATTGCAGCTTGAGATGGAAAAGTGTGAACTAAAGTCTACAGTCACCATTCTGAAAGAAAGAACAAACTATTTGGAAAATGAATTAAAATTGAAGTCCAGTAAACTTGCTCAGACTTCTGATGATTCTTCTCAATTTAAAGCTGAGATTTGCTCACTTCAGTAAGTCTGATACAAAATGTGGTGATCTTTCAGAGATGCTAAAGTAATTTTGTTTATTCTATGACTCTATAACAGAGTTGAGTTCCTGGGAAAGACCATAAAATATTTTTAAGATCACTTATACTGTTTGTGTCTTATGGAAAAGTAAATGTGAGTCAGGAAAGTGCTGTGGTGGCTTTTCACAGCAAGCTCCTCCTGGACTTATTTGATGACCAGATATACCTATAACTTTTATGGCAGGTTGTGAATGAAAATTTTCTCCTCCTTCTAGAATAGTTTCCTGTAATAATCATGTTCTCTGCTTATGAATGTAGCAGAACAGAAAGTTTCTAAAAGAATTTCCAAATGCTGTTTGTTAAAAGGAAGACAGATGCCTTTACAAACTGCAGCAGTAGAACCAGATTGTGCCAGTTTTACAAAGTTGTCAGTAATAGTGAAAATTTTATGCCAGGCAGCAGACATTGATATTCCAGAACTGAGTGGTTCATGGAGCATCATTCTGTAATGGCATTTTACATGAGCTGTTTTTCTTGTATTGCTCTCTTTCATATGCTAATGCTATCACGCGCATACCACGGTTTTGAGAGCTGACATCTTGTGATCCATAGACACAGTCTGTGGGGATTTAACCAACTTGCTCAGAACTGGAGGATCAAGTGTACCCATGTATTTTTAAGGTCTGTTTAAACTTGCAGGATCATTGCTGTGCTCTTTTAAAGCTGTTTTAGAAAAGAGCTCCCATCAGCTGTCTAAATGTCATAGAACAAGGAAAAGGCTTAGAGAAAGTACAGAGTATTGAAAATCTGGGCAGAAATTTGAACATACAGGTAGAAGTGAGAGGCTTTGATGTAAGAGATCACTACAAGATAGATAATGCTGTAGATGACATCTTTCGAATGTTTTACAAGGGAAAATAGGGTCTGTGTCTTATTCTCCCTTCCCCACCTGAACTACAATGTACTACACTGCAATGTACAATAGTAGGGGAATAACTGTGAAGAACTGAAGCTGAGAAGCAGGACTTGAAGTTCATTTAATGCTCCCAATTGCACAAAGAGGGCTCTTGGTAAAACAATTAGTATATTTGTTGGTAAAATTGTGACAACATTCATAAAAATGAAATATCTTGTTAGGTTCCTTGTAATTTCTGTGGAAGCATTGATATTATGAAAAGAAGGATAGAAGGGCTACAGTCATTTCAGCATTTGGTTCTACTTTGTACATGGTGGCAATTTGTTAGAACTGTGTTTTTCCTCCTACCCCTGCTTTTTTTTTTTCCTTTCTAAAGTTTCACTCTGAACTCGATGAGAGCAATCTTTATCTGCAAACATGCTACATTCTGGATTGGTGGGGTTTTCCTAATAATGAAAAGTTTCTGTAGCTTTTGTGGGATTCCAGTGGGGAGGGATTTTTATTTCCTGACTCGTTTCATAAATAATCCGTTTAATTACTTTCATTTTGCTTTTTTTTTTCCCCTAAGTCACTCTGATATTTCTTTCCAAGAAAAACAACTATGTAGGTAGATGATTTCATGTATCTTTCAGGCTCTGTATTTCTTAAAAGTAGGATCAAAACTGTAGCTGTCAATTTGGTTACTTTTTAAGATGTTGTGTCGCTGATAATCACTGCTATGAGCTATGTATCAAAATCTTTATAAAGCAACAGTCGAAAGACACAAGTAAAGAGGCACATGATCAAGAGTAACAGAAATCAGAGGAAGCGAGTGTTTCGGGTTATCATGGTGGTCCCACTGAGGTTCCATTGCTCCATTTTGTAATGGTGTTGAGATGGATTTGCAGCAGGGGTCTAGAGCAAACAAGTAGTGTTGGCTTCAGAAATCCCTAAGTCCTCCCTCTCAAGGGAGAGGGCTGATTACGTGACACAATCCCATGCTGCAGGTTGATATGATACAACCCTGTCAGGAGGTTATGCTGGAACTGTGCCAGCACTTCAAGCAGCTTAAGAGCCATAAATTGAAGACCCTGAATAGGTCCCAAACTTCTTTCAACTGTACACTACTTTTCCAGGCTCTTAAATGACCAGCTCCAGAGGTCTGTTGAAGATTTACAGCACCGCTTGTCCCTCAGAAAGGATGATCTGCAGGCAGCTCAAGAAGAAATTGTAAAGCTAAAGGAGAAAATAGGTAATCAGTAGTTATTTTTATGCTTATTTTCTGTTTTTAAAATAGAAAACACTTATTCTTTTATTTATAGATAGGTTAAACCAGAGGAGCACTTCACAGGATGAAGCAGTCAATGTGCTTAGAAGTACTATTACTGTTTTGGATAAAGAAAAGGACAGTCTTCAAGAAACTGTGGATGAAAAAACAGAAAGAATTGCATGCTTAGATGACAACTTAGCTAACAAGGTATGTGCAGTAAAAGTACTACTTTGCAGTCCATTTGGGCATTTTTAAAGCAGTTAATTTTTAAGGAGACATTTTTTCTTCATGACAAAGCCTGTGCAGAGCACTAGCCATCACTTAGACACTATGTTTGGACCTAGCCAATGCAAAGAGTCATTTGCCCACTCAATAGCACTTTAATTATGAATGTTACTGTATTCCCTAAACACACCAAGAATACAAAGAAGTATTTTTTTGCATTTTGCACCTGGAGGTATTTATTGAGCTATAAGGTTCTAGCCTGAGGTGACAAAATCTGTAGCTTCCATCTTTTTTGATGACAAGACTATCCTTCCTCAGTAAAGAAAAGAAGCTTGGAAATTTGAATGTGCAAAGATGCAATTACTTATTGGCAAAGAGTTATAATAAAAGTTTGAATGAAAAGTTCTTTAAACTGAAGTATCTACTGTGTTGCAATATAATGATATCTAGTAGAACTTTTGTTTTTATTTTTGTAGGAAAAAACAATTACTCATTTACGCCTAACTCTCTCTGAGCTGGAGTCCTCAACAGAGTAAGTAAAGATTAGGATGCCTTCTTCAGAGATTTTATTTTACCTAGTGGTTTTAAAGTGAAAGTATATGGCTATTTTAGTTATTTTGATGAAACTGAATTACTTCCATTTAAGTCAAGTAAAGGAGTGTACTGTGTTGAGAAAGATGTACACAACTTTTGAATAGACCTCCTCTGCAATTATATTGCAGGCTGCTAGGACACTATTAAGACAACCATTAACAGTTGTTTGTCTATATTTATTTCCCTAAATTGGTAACATTTATTAATTATCAGTCAAAAAGTAGCTTTATTCCACTAGATATTATTAGATTGACCCAGGTAAAATTCACAGCTAAATTCTTAATTATTGGCAATTTAGTCCTAGCATGAGCTACCAGTACAGTCTTAATTAAAATATATTTATGTGGTTTTTAGCTGGGCTTCATCTAATCATTCATTCTTGCCTTTTTTTAAGCATGACTTTGAAAACTATAGCTTTTTAAGAGAAAATATTTAAACACTAATATTTAAACTTTTGAAGACCAATGTAACCAAATATTTACTGCATTGATACATGAAATATCTGTGACAAAAGACTAATGAAAAATTTTACTTAAATTCACACATATTTTTATTTCTACTTTTTTGTTTAGTCTCTTCCTTACTCTTTTGATTGTTGTCTTTCAAGTGTAAGCTATCTTCTTCCTCCTATATAAAATATGCAGTGGGTAACACACTGCAACCACTAGCAAACACAGATAAACATAAGTATCTTTAATTGCTGTTTGCATAATAAGTTTCATCTTACCAAATAAATCTTCAAAGTTGAAAATTATTTCCATTTTATTTCTGCATATTGACTTTTACATACTAATGTTTATATTTCAACTCAGTTTATCAGCCTTCAGTAAGCAAGAATGTCTTTGCATATCCATGTCTGATCATTTTCAGCACTATGTGGTTTAGTACAAGAAGGAACAACTTAAATAATATTTTCACTTGATAGCCAGATGAAGGACATGCTGAGCAACAGAGACCGTGAGATATCTAGCTTACAATGCCAGCTTGATACGTCCCAAGTAGAGCTTGCAGAAATGGGAAGAGTAAAGGAAATGGCTCTGAAAGAAAACAGACGATTGCAAGATGACCTAGCTACAATGGCCAGAGAAAACCAGGTGCAGTACATAATACTGATGTATTAAACCACTTATTTGCTTGGTTATATATAGTGTTACATCAAAACTGCTATATCCCCAGTCTTGATTGGTATGTTTAATTCTTGGTATTTCTTAACACTGGGATATTGAAATTGTAAAAGCAATTACTTCAGATACATAAGTGTAGTCAATACACTGGGGGAGAAATAGGCAAGCTTTCAGTTTAGTCATCCTCCCCCAGATTAAAAAAGAAATCTAAATAACGTTTTAAATAAAATAAATCTAGGACATAATTGGTTTTAATATAATGAAATTATGTTAATTGGTTCTATCACTTGGTAGTTGGTATTTAATTGATAAAAATTGTATTTTATTATCTGTGGAATTGATTATTGAGAGAGAGCAAGGAACCACAAAAGCAGACATCAAATTGTTAGTCAGAAAGTGAGAGGAAGGAGATTGCTAGCATGTCTGAATTCTTTCTGATGCATAGTAATTCATTAATTTCATCCATTAGTTTCCATGAAACATTGGATTTATTGAATGAGGATTTTTGCCATGTTTTAAGATTAGGATGTTTTGGAATGTAGATTTCATGTTTGTGTTCTGTGAGCCTTGGTAGCAGTGGCTGTAAAGAGGTATTGGCAAATTTTGAATTTCTAGTCCTGGCAAGGTTAGTTGCCATTCATGTGTGTTTCTCTGCAGGGATTTTGCTTTCACTGGTGAATTGGAAAAGGTTAATGTTGGAGGAGAAAATATAAGAGGTGTCATAGTTTGAAACTGGCCCCCCCTCGAGAATATGGGGGCTCAGAGGTGATTGGGTGCCAGGCAGTGTTCCCTGAAGAGCCAATCACCACTCGTGTTTTTCGCTTCTGCTCAAAATCATGTATACACAGCCACCGGAAGCTGTTGGCAAGTTCAGCTGTTGGTGTCTGCTGTGTGTAGGTGTGAAAGGCCAGGGGGTGGCTGGGCTCCTTCTTTCCCCCTCTGGGGGGGAAGGGGAGCCCTGCGGCCCCCTCCAGCTCTGCCTAGGCCAGAGTTAGAGACAACATTGGAGTGAGTGACTGTTTGTGAGGGACGTGACTCACAAAACAACTGGTAAGCGAGGAGAGAGGGCTTAACAGCTAGAAGAGGCAGAAGGATTGAAGAATACTTATTTTTAGGGTATGATAGTCCTGAGTAGTCTGAATTTGTTACCTGATTTCAGGAATGGATAAGGATTCACAATCGATGAGAATAGGAGGGGTTCCCTTTTCATTATGTCAAGATTGTGTGGGCTTTTTAGATGGTGAATTCAAAGGTGCCGTCTATTTCCCTGGAAAAATGTTCTTGTTGGATTGTCTTTACGTAGGTAAAGTAGATGTCGTGTATGTATATACAGACACAGGTGTCACCTCTATATCTATAGATAGAAATATATATACACACAGGTTCAGCTGTATATTGCAGCTTTTTCTGTGTGTGTATTTTGGGTTTTTTTGGAGATTCTGTTCAGGTGCTTTATTTGACTGCTTGCAGCGTTTTATATTTTTATTTGTTTAATTTTATTTGATTTTATCTTTCGTTAGCTCTCTAGTAGTTTAGAATCATAATGTACAATGCTAACAGCTGGCCAGTCAGCAGCTTCAGGCCAGAAAGCAGCTGGGAAATGGGTTATGATTGCCCAGTGGCCGCTGAGGTGGTTCATGTGTATTTACAATCAGATTTCCAGTTGGGAATTACACAAATCCCTCTCAGCTGCTCATGGCTAAATCCATTTCCTTGCAAAGTGCATGCTATAAAGGCGTGACTTAAACTTATGTCAGTTGTAGAATCAGACTTGAAATAAAATCTTGAAAGTCTTGAGGAATAACCCATTTCTGTAGGTTATCATTGACTATTTTATTGAAAGATGAGCTATCTGAAGCTGATGTAAGTTAAATAAAAATTTTGCAAAACTGAAATAGTTGAAAGATTCAGTGGATTAGACTGTACAATTACCATCATTGTTATTATTCTTGCGACATCTTTGTCTCTAGATGTTCTCCAGGGGTTCACAATTAAATCAACCACTGGTGTGTAAGGCTCATTCTTTCAAAAGCATAAGGGGCTTATATAGTATATCTCCTTTGCACTCTTTGCAATCGTCATTGCTCCATCTCTTCTTCCTTGGAATTCTCTGGATCTGAGATCCATGGCTTGGACAGCCTGATGTGCATTCAGTCTTGTTAATCCCTCACATAGTTGGAGGAATAACGAGTTGGTTTTGTGCAGCAACTGGTTACTGCTGACCAAACGCCTCCCAGTTCCAAGTATGTGATATGGATATCCCTGTACGATAGAATGTGCGTATGGACAATATATAACAAAAATGTTTAGTGGTTTATAGGGTAACATTTTTTAGTGAGCTAAGCATTACAAAGACTGTGTGGAGAATATGTGAGTGTGATCTAGAGAGCTATCGCAAAATGCTGTTGCAACTCATTACATTCAATTTGTATACAAATACAACTATTGCAGCTCCTCATGAGACTCAGATACCTTTACAATTTTGATACTGAGATTAAAATGTTTGTTTCAATTTGCTGTAAACGCCAACAGTAAAAATAATCAGGACCTTGTTAGCTAAAACATTTATTTCAATTCTCCTCAGTTGGCCCAGGTGAGTACAATATAGCAACATTTTTTAAGTGATATAGTACCCTGAATAGTTCTCGCAAAACCTATAGTGCAATACGTAAATATGTGGATGTATTATTGAAATTAGATCTGCCATTCCCAGGCATCTAATAAGATGAAATGTTAAATATTATCATAAGGTGATGACTAAAGCTTTCCAAGTATGTTTGGGAAGGCTACCACAGAGATAAGCAGACTGATTCCATTGTATGCTAAATAAGGCACATAGTGAAAAAGTCTGCCACTAATGAATATTAATAGACCACAAAGAGAAGAAGGGGAAGAAATAAGGCAGTATCCTTTATTTCCCCCACATGGGGATAGCAAAAGATACTTTCTTTTTGGCTCTCTGGACTAGAGAACTCAGAGGAAGGTGAGAGTTGAACCTGAGAGGGCCGGAGTCAGTAGTTCAAATATCTAAAACAAGTTCCATGATGCATTTTAGATGTCTAAATATGATCTTAGTAATGCATTTAGGTTTTTTATCTTGCAATTCCACTTTAAAATAAATGTTCTTTTGTTATAAAGTTGATTTTCTAGTGACCTAAAACTTGCCTTCACTCAGGGATAGTGAACCTTATGGCTATAAAAATTCCAGCTTCCAAACATCAGTATGTCGAATTTTCCAGAGACCAGTATGGTGTGTTGTCAGGGAAGCTGCATATTTTATGAGCTGGTGTGATAGTCATTGTTTTCTCTGATTATTCTTGCCTGGAAACCCTTTGGTGTATCTAAGGTGATAGGGGATATTTCTGAACCATACAAATCCCAAAGGCTTTTGTAGGTAGAATAGAAAAAAATCTAGGGCATAGGCAATTACTTTGATTTAATCTGATAGAGTATTATATAGTGATTAATTTACCGTACTGCACAATTTTGCCTTTATGTTACCTCTTTAGGCTATCAGTACTGAGCTTGAAGATGCAATACGTGAAAAAGAAGAAATGAAAACCAGGGTTCATAATTATATAACTGAAGTTTCCAGATTTGAGACCTTGATGGCTTCGAAGGTAAAAATATAACCTGTAGGCAGTCATTACTGTTTTCAGTAAGAATTGTATGGCTTGGGTCCCATTATCCCTGCCTGTCCCATTTCCTTCTTTTATTTTTCCTTCTTTTCTCTGCAGTGTTTCAAGTTACTAGTGGGGATAATAAAATACAAAACCTTATTAGATCTGAAGCACTGATTATTCTAGCACATCACAATTTCATTGATCATGTTCCAGTTGGCCACAGTGCTGGAGAATAACAAACATATCATGTTTGAATGTTGTTTTGTTTTTTGAGTTTTGACAAGGCAACTGGTAAAATATCTGGTACTGTTTCATGATTGTAGGCAACAATCAGCTTATATAATGGTTTTAAATGTTTTACCCTTTTTGAAAAGAAAAAATTTTATTTAGTTCTGTCTGAAAGTGTAAAAATAGTACTGCCAAAACAATGCTCTTGGTAAGTGTATTTTATCCTGATACTTGGATTCAAAAGTGTGATGTATATGAATTAAAACTTATAAACATTTAAAAAAAATAGAAATGGTGTGAAGACGACATGAACTGGCAAATTTATTATGTGACTTTGAAATGGGAAGAATGAGTTTTGATCTGACTTCAACTTGATGAATGCACGTAAATTCAACCACTCTTTACAAGTAGAAACTTGAAGCTCAGGGAAAAAAATTAAGGTCAGTAGTATGTTAGCTTAGAACTATCAATTTAAGACACTTGAAGCGTAGTTTTTAAGAATCTTACAATATATCATATGTCCAAAGTACTTCAGCTACAGATTGGCCACATCTTTGGCAAATGAGAATCCAGTTATTCAGGGTGTGTACCAGGAAGCTGTAGAATATACAGACAGCGACCAGTTACAAATAGTTTGATTTCAGTTTTGTCTAGTATTACATCTGGATAATGCCTATGGAGACAAGGATTTACTTTTCTGCACAGTGTTCACTTGCTTAATCATGAGTTTCTATTTCCTAATGCTCTGCTTGATCCTGTCTGTACCTTCCAAGTTCTGCAGGATATGAAGGAATTTCAAAAACAGTAGCCTTCCTCATTAGGTAAATCTGACTCGTACTAGCAACATGCATATCCTGCTGCACATTACGTGAGCAGGGAAGAAGGGAATGTAGGTAAATATGAAAAGTTAATCACTGCTTTATAATATACACTTGCGGTTTGGCCAAATTAAAATTCACAAGCAACATTTGTTTTCACTGCACAAATGGTAAAGCTTGCAGTTTTGTAGTTGTATGATAGACTGCTCAAATAGATTATCAGTGTTTCAGGCACTGCTATAATACAAATATTTGTAAGAGCACAGTAAGTAAAAGACTGAAAATGGAGTTCTGCTGGAATTTCTTGGAAAGGGCAGCACTCAGTATATCTCAGTAATGTGACCCTTGACAATGCAGAGAGATCTAAAATAACCCCTCTCCTGGGAGCCTTGATACTCATCAACAACTTCTACATGTAAGTACTTCCATTTTAATAAAACTGAATGCCATCACTGTATTTATTTGCTATCTGGACTTGCAAAAGGGATGATGCCCTTTAGTAGTTGCCAGATAGCACGATGAAGAAAATGAAGAAAGATCTACTTTTTCTGAAAAAAAAAACCCAAATATAATTGCAGGGAGTAGGCATGAAATAAGATCTATCAACTTGAAGGTATGTTGATCATTGCAGAGTGATTTACTGTTTTATTAGGAACAAGAAAACCAAGAATTGTTAGCAAAATTCCAAATGCTCCATACGCAAGCTGAAGACTGGGAAATGAAGGCTCATCAAGCTGAAGGAGAAAGCAGCTCAATACGACTTGAACTCCTTTCAGTAGATACAGATCGGAGACATCTTCGAGAGAGAGTAGAACTTCTGGAAAAAGAGATTCAAGGGGTAATAACTTGTGCAGTGAAATTCTCTCAAGGAAAGTGGGATACATTCAGGTGTTTTTCAATAAAGTCAGTATGGTATTTTTAACATTTTAATAGAAAATAATTTCTATATGTGAATGTTTCAAATATGGACACTTGAGTTTTTGAAACAGTAACTGCTTTTGTTTAGACGTGCTTTCCTTCTCCCTACTTTCCCAAAATTAGATTAATGGCATATGTTTTGATAGTTTTGGAACTCTTCTGTTGGGTTATTATTGCTATTATGATACTGTCTCTGTAAGAAACTTTTGTATATTGCTTCAAAATGTTTGCACATAGCTTTATGAGTACTTTCTAAGCTTAGATCTTACGTTTCTTTGAAGCTTTGAATGAGGTATTTGAAGCATTGGTGGTTGGAGTCAAGGTAAAAATCTGTTAGACATAGTCCAAATCCAGAATCAGGATTCCATAATACTGAAACCTAGACCAATATCATAGAACATAATGAGGTTTATATTTTAGAAGCAGTAACTTCATGGAGGTCAGTGAAGTTCTAGAGTGTAATTGTTGTGGATTGGCTACATTTTTTCTCATGCCAAAAAGTGTTAGAGACTATATTGTAAGCTGAGTAAACAATAGGCTATATTTTTGGGGGTTTAAGCTTTTTAATTCTCTGAAGCTGGAATGCAGCCTCATTCCACTCTTTTATAGTACTTGTATAATTCTTCAAGATGGTGATTAAAAATTGCAGCGATGGTTTATTAGTTGTCCTCAGCTGTAATTTAGGGAGAGGGAAGAAGTGTAATATGAAGTTAGTTTTATAGGGAAAGTTAATTTTAGAGAGAAACTAAAGTATTTAGAAAGCCCAAGTTATTCAGCAGAAAACTGTTAAATTTAACACTGAAGGTGTATCCGTATTTGTCTTTGTTTAGCATATCGTTGCACATCAAGTGTATGAATCTCAGATCTCCACCATTACGAAAAACATGTCCAAATTGGAAGAGGACCTTAAACGTGAAAATCAGGATAAGGCTGCTGTGTTAGCAGACCTGAGTTCTGTGAGGGAACTCTGTGTGAAACTTGAGTCTGGCAAAGATCTTTTATCTCGACAGTTGACGTCCAAAAGCATGGATTATGAAAGGGTAAGCAGAAAAGGCAAATTTAATTTGCTATAATAAAATAACTTCCTTTGCTTTTAATGGTTTTTGGAAAAAAGAATCACTTCTGAGAGCAAGCCAAGTTAATTTACATCACTAGTTTCCCATTTTTATATAAATTATAAATTTTACAGTATATAGATCTGTGTCTGTGGTTTTTGTACAAAAAGATGGAGTTTCTTTCATTCGATATCACTGCAAAATGTTGCAGCTGTAGTTTTTGCAATACCAGAGACAAATTATATGGGGGTTTTTTTGTTTTTTAATTTACTCAAATTTTCAACTTACCAAAAGCAAATAGTGCACTTCTTATTTAGATATTAAAGACCTTTTCCTAATGGCTTTTTTCAGTTAAATTGAATTTAGATACAGCTGAAATTCATTAAATATTTTGAAATAATTTAAACAGTTCTGAATATTCATATTTCCGTAACCTTTTTCTTTACAGCTGATTTTGTCTTTATTTAGTGACTTGGTCAGGCTTTCTGGTACTGTAATATTCAAGACCTCAAGTGTTCCTGGAACTTACCTAACATTTCTAGCATTATGTAATCCAGCTCACAGTAAAACATGTGATAGGTGTACAGCTTGAATAGTTTTAAACTAAGTATAGTTCAGAATAATTGTAGCTTTAATTTGTTTTGTGAGCTCAGTTTCCTGTTCTTTTTTATGAGACGATCATTTCAGTTTTTATAGCAACTCTTCACAAAATAGAATTCTCTGTGTTTGTAAACCAGTGTATTAATAATGTATACAATTTGTGCCTTAGGTTCTAGGAGAATTAGAAGATATAAAATCAGAAGTAGAGTTGCTGAAAAAGCAGTTATCCAGTGAGAGACTTACAGTTCAGAATCTTGAAACGTTACTGGCTACTAGTAGAGACAAAGAATTTCAGAACCAATTAACATCCCAAGAGAAAGATACCGAAATTCAGTTACTGAAAGACAAGCTAACACTTGCTGAGAGCAAACTGTAAGTTTTAACAAGTGTATGTGTGTTATGTGGTTTACAAAAAAACTTTTTCTGTGTGACAATACTTATTCACAAAATCTGGATGTTCGGTATGGCTGAGCAGGTTTCTGCAGCAATGTCTTTTGGCCTTTCATATCATCATTTACTTAAAGTTTCTTTACCTATCTTTCATACTGCTTTCATTAATCAGCACTTTGGTGGACATCTGTTTAGTGCAAGCAGTAAACTTAAACAGGAGTTCCAAAGGAAACATACTTCAAATAAAATTTTAACATATGTTTACAGCTCACAAAAAATTACAAAGTATATTAAATCCATGGTAAATGTGAATTGCTTATCTACTGAAGATGCCTGTTATCCTTACTTTGATTAAAATAAGAATCACATAATAAATAGTGAAGTCACAGTGCTTAAAAAAAGCAAAAGTACTTCTGCTGCTGTTGATATCAACTATTAAGGAAAAAGTTCTGTATCAAGTTATTGTTCCTTTGAAATATAAACAGAACTGAACCTGACATCTGCACTATATGTGGCGAGCAACTTCTTATGCTGTGCATCTGCCTGCAGAAGAAATAACTTTTAAACACACTTGTAGAAGAAGCAATGAAGTTAAGGGGGGGATATTTTGTATATGTGAAATTCATGTACGAGAGAAGCAGAGGGGTTAAAAATTTTTCTTCATGTTATGGAGCAGGGAATTTGAAGTGTCCATGATGTGTCATCTTAGAATCGTTTAGGTTGGGAAAGAGTCTTAAGATCACCAAGTCAAACTGTTTAACTAAAACTGCCAAGTATCATGACATGATAATTCTCCAAGGGATATACTAGCCAGTGACTGTAGTGATAGCTCTGCATTAAAAAGCAAGAAGGAGGAGTAGCAGCTGAATGGAGATGGTAGTGAAGAGTAAAGTCCAAGTAGAATTTCAGACAAAGGAAAACAGATACACCCACTTAGTAAACACTAAGGTAGGGAGAGAAAGAAAATGTATGGAAAGTAATAGGACAGATAATGCTCCTTATGAGATATAGAATATAGCAACCTTAAACAGGTAAAAGCTGTCTGTGACTTGGTGACACAGATGTGCAAGAAAAATGTTTTTGATTGATTTACATAGAGGCTACAGCTTAGGGCTGATGATGGTCCACCTCAAGTAGCAGCAGTCTCTATGGATCTGTAGATGACAATGCTATTAATCACCCTTGTGCAACTAATTGCTTCCTGTTTTAGTATTGCTGATTTTGGTTTACTTTGGGGGAAAAACATTAGTTGCATACAATCAACATAAGCTAATGCAATGTCCCGATTATGAAGTTATATGTGAGAGTTAATAAAAACACAAACCAACAGAAACCCAAAAAAAACCAGGAAAGAAGGAGATTTTAACTTAAATTAAATTTAGCTACTTTGTGTGCAAACATTATAAAATTCTATTTAACTAGCATAGTAATTTTTTCGCTATTTTTCTTCTGCACACATTGTAGGGTTCATTTCTTGTTTGTTGTAAATGTCGGTACTTGCATTGTTAATAGTATGTGATACTGCAGGAAGAAGGAAAACGTCTTGGTAGAAGAGTGGCTATTCTGTTGAATTGTTTTCCTCTGTTTATCTCAAAGGTTCTGCATGTTGCTAGGCAAATGTTCACATGTGAGAACTAGTTGTGTATACCTTGTTTTCTACTATTTGGTTTTGTAGTAGTTGCACTCTAAAGTACAGGAAGTTTAAATGCTCACAGCTGTGACTGAAATATGTGACAATTAGGTTGTGTCTAATACAAAAATTGTAAAATACAAAAATTGTAAAATACAAAAATTCATTTGGCTTGGCCACAACCTCTGACTTCAGGATTCTCAGAATTAAATTTAACTTGTGAAATTCTTCAGTGCTGTAATTATGAGCTCTGTAGAGTGAGTAGTTGCGTTACTTGGAGTGCTATTTGGGTGATAGTACAGTGAATGAGATCTTGAGGCTCTATAGTGAATAAAGTATTAAAAGAAGAATATGAAATAGCTCTCAGGAAGTAGTGTAGCTATCTGCATCTACTGGGAAAGAGACAGATTTCCTGTGAAAATTGTGTATAATCATGTGAACTTAAATGATGATTACTGTGCACAAGGGTTTCAAATTAAAATATTTCTAAATTTTGAGTTATTTACTTCGTACTCTTAATTTTAATTGTCATTGACATAGAATAACCTGTGAACTCACAAAGTGTTCGCTTTCTTTTCTTATTTTACAATAATGATACTGGGCCCCGAATTCTTACCTCCATCCTGAAAGCATATGCCTGTCTCTGAAGGACTTAGATGATATCATCGAGATCTCTTGTCTTCTGCATCTGTTCTCAACATACTGGATCAAGATACCATTCTAGGAATTTTACTGATGAATAGGGAACATGGGAAAAAATATTCTGCGGTTCTTTTTGGAACAAATCTCTTGAGTAGTTTGCATCTTCCTGGAGTCAAAGACCAGCGGGTACCAGACAGGAAGTCTGTGACTGACCTAGAAGTGAAAATTGTTTTTCAGAATTCCAGTCCAGTGCTTTAGCAATAAACTAGTACAACTTTACTTCTCCAGAAGTGACTTTTGAGCACTCCACCTCATACTGGCTTTGAAGACTGTATGGAATAACACAGCTGTCTCGGTTCTCATTTAGACAACTTATTTTACACTCAATGATTTTTTTTTTTTCTTCCTTCATAAAGAATAATAGTATTTTGCAACCAAGCATTGGGTTGGTCAAGCCGATGATTTACTAAGAAGTATATTTAATTATGTTAGTTAAGATTTTCAAGGTTGCTTTTCATTTTGATTCTTGCAGTTGAAACAGTTGGGCCCAAACACCAAGGTTATAGTTGACAAGCCATGAGACTCTGGTCTGGTATTTGCATTAATATATTTTTTATGTAGATTTGATTCAGTAGTTTTCATTGCTAGCCAGATAGTTCCAGGCTACTTGATACAATTTTTACTGTTATGTTTGTATTTTATGTGGATACTTACTGCTTTTTTCTTCCTTTTTTTTTTAATGTACACATAAAGAACATCTCACATGCAAAAGAGGGTAGTGAATCAATAAATTAATGTTTTAATTGTTTTGTCTGTTTTTATAAAACATATCTGTGTTTGCCTTTGTCTGAAAAAGAACACAATGTAGTTAGGATGCAGTGAGAGCTTCTCACTTCATTCTCACCTTATGTTCTTCTGGAAACATTGTGTTACATTCACTTGGTTCTTGCTTTCTTGCTTCTAATTTGACTTTGATTGGTCTGTGTGAAGCAACATGTTTAGTATCTGGTTTTGTTTTATCTTGCTCTAAATTGTCTAAGCTCCTAGCTGATGGTGTTCAAAGAAAACTTTATTGCTTCTCGTGATTTTTTTTTTTTTTAGAAGCAGCCAAAATAGAGAGGTTTCCATACTTCGAAGTAAAGCTGCACAGCTGCAGACTGACTGTGATGTTTTAAAAAGACAACTGACAACTGAGCGATTTGAAAGGTAAGATGCTGCTTTTTCAGTGAGTTGACTCTTCTCATTTCTTCTTTCTCACTTTTAAAACTTGCTTTTTTCAATACTGAGAAACTTTTATGGAAGACTCTATTCCTCTTGCTGTGCAAAATATAATATGCTCATCTTGAAAACTGCTTAATTAAAAAAGAAAAATCTTATACAGTTTCTGAATTTTCTTGTAAATTTTACGTTAACCACTGCCTTTAAAAGTAAAACAATTCTTTCTCATGAAAATAAGAATAAAATTGAGTAACTTTACAAGAAAACAAAACTTATTGTAAAGTATTGCGAAAAATCACCAAGTAAAAATACAGAGAAAAGTTACATTTTCTTGCTTTAACATCGTGCAGTCCCTAAGTTCTGTGTAACTAAAATTGCTGTTTGTTGGCAGAGAGCGTGCAATTCAGGAAATGCGCCGACATGGTCTCTCTACATCATCATTACGCGCTTCGCCTCCTCTCAGTTCAACATTCAGGTCTCCCTCACGTTCTCCTGAACGGAGCGTTGTAAGGACAACTGACCAGGCATCAGCTGAAAAGTAAGTGATTTGATTTTAGCAGATTGTTTCAGTTTGAGTTAAGTTTAAATTGTTTCTAAATAAAACCTTTCTGATTATTTGAAATTTTTACATACTTCAGGTGTTTCTAAGTTCTGCTTTTGCTGTCTCTCCTACTATAAAAAGTTGATTGAAAACAGTAGATGCAAAGCACTCTCCAAAGACCATATAATAAATGGATTCTCATTCCTGTTTTTGTTAGCGGTCTTGCACAAGCTGACAGCTGCTTGTGTTGCCTGCTTATTATTGCCATTACTTATATCCAAATATATTTTGCCAGTTTATTATTGTTAACAGTTATCTCCAAACAATAAATGGTTCATATTGAGAGAAAAGCTGTGAAATTCTCTCAAGTACAGCAATGAGGGACAAACACTCCACAGAAGAGAGTCCAACCATAAAATGCATTTGAACATTATGCATTAGATGAAACTATCTCCAAAACAAGTGCATAAAAATAATGAATACATTGTTAGTCCTTGAATCTATGAAGGTCTAAGATTGTGATTAATGGAGTCCATAAAAAGGAAATCAAAATCAGCCTCTCACCTGTTCATTTTCACTGACATTTTTGTTCTTTTAGAGATTGTTGTTTTAGATTATGTCAGTTTTATGTTACAGGCCTGGTTATTGGCGTTATATCCTGCCTGTCCTATATTACATAATAAATTGCAGTGAAGAGAGGAAGGACAGGGAGAGGTAAACAGTGATTGTTGTAGGAAATACATGTGCTGTAACAGCTCATAAATCTGACAGATTTTGAAGTTTATTTTTGTTGGTAAATACATATGGCTTGTTCATAAGCTTACTTTTGTTAACAAAAACACAGGTTTCCTGAGAACTGAGGTCAGCATGGCATAAACCCACATTGTCAGCATTTTTTCTCTTCTGTGAGTTTTTGGGCAAAGCAAAAAATGGAAACTAGCAAAAATGTTGTCAGTGAGGATGAAACAGCAGTTACGACTCTTGGTTTACTGGTGAGCCATTAGGTGCACCCTGTAATGTTGCAAATCAACATTTTGACTGAGATGATGACAGATAATATATTTTTGAGGAAGAGTATCATCAGTAAAGAGTTGTCTGTAGTCTTCCTTGTGTTATAGTGAGTCCTGAGAGCAATAAAAAGTCCAGTTGCTGTACTTGAAGAATACAATGTAGTGCACTATTTTTGTCCTTATATTTGCATTCTTAACTTTAACAATGACAGCTCTGTACCATATCTTATCAGAAAATATCCCATTTTCATTAAGTATATATATTTAAAGAAAGTGGGTTTTAACAACTGAATTCACATACAGCTGTTATGTATGTCTTACCTTTTAAACCTATCAGTGGGTCATTACAGTAGAATGATCTCAGCAGTACTGTCACCATCTTTCATCCTGCTTACTTATTTCTTCTTGGGAGCTTACCACAGTAAAGTGTATTTTGTAATTACTGTTCTGTTGTGTTACAACTGTCTCTTTTTCTAATCTGATTTCATCTTCTCAAGGAATTTTCTCTTCCTCCTTGTCTCCCTTCTACTTTGAGAAATGAGTCAATGAACTGAATGTAGAATTTTAAATAATATGCTAATAGTTGATATTCAGGAATAACAGAAGAGAATATGAGGAGGCTAAAGCTAATTATTACAATTTATCCTAATATTAATTAGTAAAATAAAGTAGTTAACTTTATTTTGACTTTTTTTCTTTCTCCACCAGAAATGTGAGCTTCAAGGAATAACCAGTACTTAAGCAACTGAAGTATTACCTTGTTATAAAGACTTTTTTTTTTTTTAAATTATGAAGACTATCTTGTAGTCTACCTCTGTGTTCTTCAAATCAGTGATTACCTTTGAAATCTCTGAGAAAGGGTGAAATAATCAACTTTGCAAAATTCTGCTTTCCCATCTGGTGGGAATGACAATTTTTTTGCTGGCTGTTTGACAGGTTTTGTATCAAGCCTGACTAAGTTTTGTTACAACTTTGGAAACATAATAATTATAAGAAGGAAACGAGTACTTGATTTGACAATCTCTTGTTTTCGTTTTACGATTTTATTTGTTTGCTTATCTCATATGATTGCAGAACTTCATTCATCTTAATATGAGCTAACAGAATAATATCCACAATTGTCTTACAAGTGCTGAGCCAGTGTATGTTTTATACCCATGATGAATTCTATATTTAAGCTTCTAACAAGTGTTTTCTGTTTACAGGTCATACTTCATGGTATTTAAAAGTATTGATTATCTATTTTGTGAATGTATTTTGTTTATCTTTTCTTAATAAAATATATATATATATCAGTCTTTATTACTGTTTTTGTCAACTAATTTGTCTTCTTTTGTTTTATCTTTGTGTGAAATTGCATTTTAAATATCCCCATATTAAGTAAAAAGTGAAAAGAAAAATTACATTTTAAAGATGTATTGAAATGCTTTAAATATTATAAAATTCCAAAGTATTTTATATTCAAACTTTTGAATCATATCTGGAGATACTTTTCAAATGTTGGTTTTAAAAGTTCAGAGCGACACCTGGAATCCTTTGCACAGTTAAGCTCAAGCGGTTGGAGAGGTGACACAGGACTTTATGTTGTGACATACATACTAGGTAAATGAAGCGAGAACTAATCTTTAAAATATCTGGTGTATTTAGCAGGGGAGCATTTCAAACTTGGGCTTTGAAGTAAGATGCGATTAGTGATCACAATCTTAGGATATATTCTTAACATCCATCTATGCAAATAATTGTATATTGTATCCTTCTTCTATTTGAGAACATGCAGTTTTCTAATAATTACACACCATCAGCTTGACATGTTGTGTATTCATAGGACTTATAGAGAGGACTAGAAATGGGAGGATGCATGGCTGCACATCCTTGTACTGGCCAACAGGTAGTGTTCTGCTTGCCTCATGTTCAGTAAAAAACTGTGGTTACTAGCTAACATTACAAGCATCTCTGAAGTGTAAGCCACATATTAAATAACATGGAAAAAATCCTTTTTTTGCTCTTAGATTTTGTCTATTTTGCACTAAGATTGTCACACTTAGAAATTATAAAGAATATTGTGTTAACTGGAAATATTGTGTCATATATATTAAATTTTATTACTTAAAGCCAACTTAGAACACCCATTCAGAAATACCTGAAAATACTTGTATCGCTTTAGGTTTCTGAGCCATGGAAGGAGCTACATATTCATAGTGAGTGCATCTCATACATTTTATTTTCTAGGTCTTTCATTTGCCAGTTACAGGAATGGGGAAGTTGTCATCTCTAAATGTTACTTATGTACTAATACTGTTTGTAATTAAGTCAGTAGTTTCCACTGATGCTAATTGGCATTAATAATTCAGGCTGAGGCAGTTCAGTAAGAAGGAGAAAACTCATGTTCTGCTCTTGATGTCTTCAGTGGTGACTTTTAAATATCTTATTTTGTATATAAACCCTCTTAAACTGGAATCTGAGTTTTTAAAAAAGCAAGTGTTCCATTGTATTGAAAACAGTATATTTCGTGTTACCAAAAAATGTATATTTTGACATTGCAATTAAAACCATAACACTTCAATTAATAGTAATTCCTACATGGATATAAATTATGAAGAATTAGCAGCTTGTTGAGCACAGCTATTATAATAAAACTGGTATCATTTTGGTGACCAAAGCCTGTGCAGATTTCTAATATTAAAACGTTACTAATATTCAGAGTGTACTATAGCTGTCATATTGCCTTCTTGTTACTATTATTTTATATACATGTAAGCAACTAGAAGAAAACAAAAGTAAATTTTATACAACCTTGCTTTAACATCAAGTATTTCATTTCATGAAGCAGAAAACAAGCACAAATTTGCAGAAGATTTAAATCCGTGGACTACTGTATATGTCATGTATGAAACAAGCCTTATGTGAGTCAGGATGTTCATGTGACTCTCTGGACTCTGCTCCAAAAAGCTACTGTGCAGTCCTCACCTTCTGGAAGATCAAAAGCACATGGAAGCCTAATGAACTGTTGTAGTCCTCAGATGGAGTGAGTTGAGAATGTGGCAGACCTGAAATTAAGGGAGACTCTGTATACTCAGGTTATCTGTCTTTTGTTATCTACAGCTGGGGAGGGGGGAAAAATAACTTCAGAAAAATAATAAAGGTGAAGCAGTAATCATTGGGGCTGTTTTTCTACGAAACAAAGAAAGTCTATTGTCAGAAGAGGGGCAATTAGAGATAATAAAAGGACAGGTTTTTTCAGTGTATGAAAACCTAAATTGCTCAATTAAACAAAAGCTATTATTCCTAAATTACTCTATAGGACTGGAGACTTTTGGGTTTTTTTTAAATCATTCCTTGGGACAGAACTTTATACATTTTCTTTTTTAACAGCGTAAGAAACCAATGGTATGTGGTTTTGGTACCCTGGTCTTATAACTTTGTGTATACAGACATTCCAGTTTCATTTCATCCTCTGACTCTTCATGGGTCACACAAAGATCATAATAACTGCAGCAGTATTAATTCATCCTCCAGTGTAAATGATAAGGGGGAGAGGAAGCCTTGATGCTGTGCAAGCACTGATCAGCAGTAGCTGAAACATTGGAGTATTATCAGTGGTTGGTGTATTAATGCAGTGTTTCAGCCACAAAGGCAAAGAACTCATCTGTCTTCTGTCAAGCTGCAATGTTACCTCTGCCGCAACACCCACCAACACACAGCAGAACCAGCATGGGGCACTCTGGCAGATTCCCTGCACAGTGGCAGCCCATTCTAGCATGTGAACTGCAGACATGGCGTGGCCAAGATAACCCCAACACACGATGTCTACCATAAAGCTCCCAATACAACATGGACATGGACGTTCTTGGCAAGTCCAGCAAAGAGCCCCAAAGGGATTGGAGCATCTCTCACAAGAGAAGGGTCTGAGTAAGCTGGGGTTATTGAGCCTTGAGAAAAGAAATATTGAGGGAGGGAACATCTCCATATACATAAATAACTATGGGTAGGAGTGGGAATAAAAAGTGGCTGGGAGTAAAAAGACTGAGACAGTCTCTTCTTGGTTGTACTCAGGGGAGTTACAAGACAATGGGTACAACTCGAAATACAGGGAATTCCATTTAAGCATAAGAAATATTTTTGTCCCATGAGGGTGGTAAAATAGTGCGACAGGCTGCCCAGAGTGGTTGTGGAGTCTCCATCCACAGAGGTATTCAAAACCCACTGAGGGGCAGTCCTGGACAGCCTGCTGCAGATGACCCTTCTTTGAGCAAGGGTTGGACTAGGCAGTCTTCAGAGGAGCAATAATTCTATGACTGTGGGAAACTTTCCTACAGTTCCACACAGCAAAGCGATCAGGTAAGTGCTTATCCGGCTGTGGTGACATTGACTCTTATTACCTATATTATGATCTTTGACTTTTGAAAAATTACAAGTATAAAAATAATTACCATTGTTTTATCTCCATATTTAGATTTATCAACAATAGAGCTCAAGTGAGTTTTGGAATTTATTACTGTAGTTGCCTATCCCACCCGTGTCTGCTGCTAGCTCAACATCACCCAAGCAGGGCTGCCTCACCAGCATTGTCAGTGGTGTGTCCTTTACCATTTCAAGGTGATGGTGCAGGAGTTAAACTAAAATGGCAAAATAGCAATTGGAAGAAAGTGGGAAAAATGAGAATGTCAGTGGCTTCTTCTCAGTTTTAGTACTCCTGAGCAGAGACAGCTGTATTTTCATGAACAAAAACACAGAAATTAATTTCAGTGTGATTAGTCAGCTGTGAGTCAGTCAAGGTCTGCAGGAGCAGATACTGCTTTTGAGGGAGATGTTCTTTGAGTTCTTTGAGCTTCTAAGTCCAAAGGAACATGTTGACATCTGAGCTTGTTTTTATTTGAAAAGAGTTGGCTGGGTTGCTGGACTATAGCTGTGTCTGCAATCTTTACCAGTACCCATTTGCTCTGGATAAATGCATTAAGATATTGAGTGGGAGGTAGGCACCCCTGGCTTGCTCCTGGCTTTTACACGGTGTTTTTGTGCCACCTAGTGGACCGGGGTCTCTTCAAGCAATCATGGCACATCCTGGACAGGATTGGGTTTCTCCGTAGAAATTCTGGATTTCTAATATTTCAGTAATAAAATCTACTAAACCCAAAGTGAAAAACTTGCTAATAAAGCTACGTGTGCCTGAAGCCCATTTATCACTTTGCCACTGAGGTTTGTGACTGCATTACTTTACAGAAATTTTCAGTTCTCAAGGGGAAAAAAAAAAATCTCATTTTAACTTATTTTCTGCTCCAGACAAGTAAGAAGAGAGACCTTTGCCAAGAAAGATCTCATGTAATTGAGCAATTTGACTGATCTGAAGGAACTGGCAAAGGCTGGATTCATCTCTTTCCTGGTGGCTACTTTTGAAGTTTTCTCTCTGTACCATCCAATTCTACCTCTTAAAAATGTGTAAGTGCTGCAATAGCAACAAGGCAAAACACAGCAAAACCCCTGAATCTTTTGGAGGAGTGTTACAAAATTCAGGTTTGGTAATTGAGGTGCTTTGTATCCATATATTTTGGAAATATATATATATATATGCACTTGCTAATGTAAAGGTAGCATTCAATATACTTAACAGCCACCTAAATACTAGAGCTGGTACATGAGCTTAAAATTCAGAGTTATCTGTGCCCTGTATCCTATAGCTTTAGTTGTGAAGGGACTGAAAAGGGAATGGACTGCACCTCCCAGGGCTTGTATGACTAGTCATCTCTAGAAGCTTGCAGGTGAAAAAGTGATTCCTAGCAATTAATACTTATTTCAGAGTCATAGACTAGTTTCTTACACAAGTATCACTTTGACTCGGGAATTCACTGAGCTACAAATCACTAAGGAGGGTGAGAGTATCAGTAAATGCCTGCCTAAACTTATATTCTTCCTTTAAAACATCTGTTACTGGGCACAGTCAGAGACAAAAAAAGTATGAGATAGCTCTTTGGTCCAACCCGGCCTGGGTGTCATTTTTATGTAAGACCTAGTTCTTTTTAAGAATACCAGAAGGACCATTTCTGACTGGGCCAAAAAATTGAAAAACAGGCAAAATCCAAAGCTGTAAAGCCTTATTCTCCAGGGAACACCTGAATCTGGAGAGGCGGTTGGCAAAATACATCTTTCTCAGCAGTGGAAGATCATGAATCACATAATCAATTTTGGTTCAAAAAGTGGAAGAGTCTAGATAGTACTAAGTGCAGCATCTGCTTTTACCATGTTCTCTTTGGGAAACTCAGGAAACAGGTGTCCAGCACTGGTAAAATCTTGCTGTTGGTACCTGAATTGGAAGAGTGGGGCCCCAGAAGAGCTGATACAAATACGGGATTTAAGGATATGAGAAAAAAGGGAGGGTGGTTTCTCTACTGCTGTGTTGAGGAGCAGCTGATTTTTGTTTTATTTCTCGTAGTTCCTCCTATTTTTTTAGGAAAGGAAGGGGATAAGTATTTGTGTAGCTATACCACTAGCCAGACGAGAAGAAAACAAATGGGGTTTCAGAGCCGGGATGCAGCCGGAGCTGTGGATCTCCTCTCCTCCGGAGCTACTTTCCTCTTCGGGCAGTGCAACGGTGCTGAGTCCCGGTGAATCCAGGTAAATCCAGCCTTACCCCTTCCTTCCCAACAAGAGAAGCCGAACGCTGCCAGTTCGAGGGCAGGGATGCGGGAGCGGCAGGGGCGCGGCGCTGCGGGGCGCCTGTGAGCGGTGGCGGCCGCGCTGCCATGGGGTGGCCGCCGCGGGGGCGGCATCCGACGGGCTGGGCGGCGGCACAGGCGCCCGCAGCAGCCACCGGCTCTTCCCTTCTGGCAGCAGGGAGAGGGAGCACAGGTAGGAAGGACCCTGCCGCCCCACCCCTTCCCCCCGCGCAAGGGCCGCTGCGGTGCCGATAGCGGGAGGGAGCCTCGCCGCAGCCCAGGGCTCTGCATCCCCCCGCGGGGCTTCGCATCCCCCCCCCGAGCCTCCGCGTCCCCCTCGGGGCTCCGCATCCCGACCTCGCCTCTCCGGCGTCGGCGGCTGCGCTTTGCCCCGGCCGCGCCTCGGGAGCGCTCGCCGTGCGGGGCCGTCCGCTGCTGTGCGGGGCCGTGCGGGAGTGTCCCTGCCGCTTTGTGCTGCTTGTGCCCTCTCGCTCGGCAATGCAAGCGGCGAGCAGGCGAGGGGCAGGAGGCTGTGCCGGGAGGACGGCCAGAAACCCCCCCCGTGAGTAGTTCCCTGCTGCTGTTGGGCTGCCTTTGTTCGGTGGAAGGTGCAAGGAGGCGTGCGGGTGATTTTCGGAAGGTGTCACTTCGTTGCTGCCGCGGAATTCAATGGCTGGGCTGGTTCTCTCCAATTCCTTCTGCTTTCCCTTTGTTAGCGTTTTCCCAGGGAGTCCTGTATTGTTTCAGCTTCGCTGAAAAGCAGGAGCTGTCAGAGAGATGACTTTGTTCACGGCGATGCTTCTCCAGAGCAGCATCGCTTTGTTCGAGCTCCCGTAAGCCATTTGTCACACAAGTGCCGCCGCGCTGCTGTAACGAGCCGGCTGCGTTCCGCGGCTGGCAGGCAGCGGGGCCGCGTCCCTCTTCCTTACTCTTTCCCAGCAGCTGGAGCAGGTAAGCTGGGGATAATACCCTTTCACATGGGAAATCGTTTTCTTGCGTGATCTCGTCAGTTAGAAAACGTCTATTTCAGGAACTGAAATATGTGTTACATGCATCTTTTCTATTTCATGGAGACATTTTTAATGAATGACGGTTGGAGTTTTTTGGTTGCTTTTTTTAAATTAATTTTGCTGGGATTGCCGCAAGTCAGTTACAAATCTGGTTCTCTGTAGCTGTAATACGTAAAACATTACTATGCCTCTGCTCTGTCATTTTAAGTGTAAAAACGCCCTGTTAAAAAGGCAGTTCCAGGGGTAAGTAGAGACCTGGAAACCACAACTCTGCATCCTGAAAATTTAATATGCCTGACAATAATGGCACTGAAAATGATCTGCTGCTGGGGGATGGGGCCGTGGAGAAAGAGAAGAGTAATTTACAACCACAGGCCTAATAATAGATATTCTGTCGATAATAGATACATAGATAATCTAGTTTGTTATATTCCCAAACAGATCTTCTGTACATACCTCAACAGTGTATAGCAATTGTGTGAAAAGAGCTCTTTTCTTAAGACTCTGAGCTATATAAGCTAGCCAATAGCAGTAACATGTAGCAGGTTCTATGTTTTAACAGAATAAAGGTGAAAAATTAGTCAGAACTGACTTTTATTTGGTATTTAGTAATGCACACTCAAGAAATTACCATCCGAAATAACTTTAGTTGTGCCTTGCATAGACAATTAAGTCTTCTAACTATACCAAAACATTAATCAGTGGGCATAAATATTATTGTGAGTTTCTTTAACAAAGCCATTGATGTATTTTAATATAGTGAGTAGTTAGCAGTTCTGTACATAACTTCTTTTAGGTGGTTTGAATCCAGGTCAGAAATTCATCTAATGGACAAATTCAACTCTTCCTTGGCTGCTATCAGATTACAGTTTGTGTTTGCAGTTGAATATTTCATTGCAACAATGAGCTTGAATTTAACACTATAAGATGTATTAAAACTTTATATGAAAGTGATTTGTATATTTATTTATGTTCTAGTTGGATGATAATTACAAGAACTACCTTGAAATATTTTTTAATAAATACAGCATGTAGTAAAGAGATTGCTGCTGGTTGGTATTGGGTCTTTCTTCTCCAATAAGAAAATGTGTCTCAGAGCATCCTGTTGTAATATCTATGTGGGCAACCCTACATTTTAGAGGGAATTGCTTGACACTTATAAGCAATTATTATTTTTTCCTATATGCCATATAACGGGGTTTTTAGAAGTGCACTGGTAGCAGACACAGTTGGTTTGAAGCATGATTGACTTGCTGGGTCCTGTGCTAAAATGTTAACTTCCTTCCTTCTTCCCCCCCCAGGTTTGTTCCTTATAGATCTTATTTTCGTCAGTTTCCTTGTGAGATTATGCAGGTAGTAGCAGTTGTGACCTGGAAATGCATTCAGTAAAATATTTTTTTTAACATACAGTTCCTGAATACTGAAACAAAATTTATTTACTATTAAAAAGTACTGTTTGGCTGTAAGATTTCACTTTAAATGCAGATACTAGAATGCAACCCTTTTTGGTTTCACACTTCTGATTACAGCAGTAAGAATAACTTTTGTAGTTTCTTCTGCTTTGGCTCTTAGTCACCCTGATTATTGTTTTACCAGGTATCTCTGTCATGAAAATGGATGTGTTTGTGTAAGTAATGTAGTTTAGGGTTACTTCAATACTCGTACTGTAGATGTGCCAGGTAAGCTCTTTTTAAATAAGAAACACATGGCATAATAAGTGTTGACTGAAATGTGATGATGAGTTTGTGAATATGATTATGTTTGGTTGTTGTTTTACAATGAAGTCTAACACAAACAGAATTTTTATATAGACAGTGTAAGCTTGAATGACTATGTTTTGACTTTTTTTCCTCACAAACCAAGAGCATACCTTTTTTTTTTATATTCTGAATTATTCATGTTTGAAAATCACTGACTCTGATTGTTGAGGGATTTTTTTTTCCCCTCCCACAAAATCAATGCACAGTCTTTATTCCATAAAGGTCTAAATAAGAGAGTTATAGCAAAAATGGATAAGCCTACTAATTTCATGTTTAAAAAGTACAGTCAATTTCTTTGGAGTCAACAGGCTTAGGGCGTTGTAGTTACATAATAGCTCCATCAGCATGATGTAAATGGTGAGATGCTCTAAACATCTGCATATTGTCATTGATCCAATGAATTTGAAAAAGAATAAAGTCATATAAAGTGCACATTAAAGTAGAATCAATTGGTGCTGAATAATGTGATAGAAGGCAACCTGAAGTTACAGGGTTAACTTTAATTACAGTAGTGCTTCCACTGGAGGGACCAAATTCTATTTTTTATCTTATTTAAATGAATTATTGATGGATAAAATTGCGTTTGTTTCCGTGGAGACTCCATGATTTCTGTCTTTAGGAAACAATGAGTTGTTGTGTAGGTCTTACACTTATTGTTTCTCATCAATTCCTGAAGGGACTTTCATTCCTTTTGATTCTATGCATTGCATATCATAGGCTTTCTCTCTTTGGGAGGTAAAATATATTTTATAGAAGCATGCAGCATCTGCCATTGCTTTACATTCAGCGTTAGGGTTAAAATGGTGAAGCCTTACAAAGAAATATAATTGACTTGTAACAAATAATTTTTAATACTGGTCAAGAGCCAGTGTGTCGCATGGCCTAATGCCAGTGATTTGGTAATTAAGTTTGGTGGGAAGAAAAATGTAAAGATCTTGATGCTTATTATCCTGGGCAAGTGGCTTATACTGCTGTTGTACCACACATTGAGTGAAGATTATTCAGATGCTACTGTAAAAGTGTAAAGTACATCAGTACATTTTTAAACACAGTTCAGTTTCTCCTTTGTATATGCATGTTGTGTGCCAAATTACAGGAATACAAATTTTGTGCCTTTAACAAGGCTGTTTAAGAAAATACCATCATATGCAGCTGATTTTAGTTCATGGGACTGAGTGATGTAGCTCAGTTAGGGTAGTTAATGACTTTTCTGCTAACTACCTTCATTTGTGATCATCAACACATACAGTCAAATCAGTTAAGTCAATTGCTTCACATCCCAAAGATGCTTTGAAATGGTTAAGCTTATAGTTTTAATTATAATACGTGTGGAAGTTTTATTTTCTTCACCATTATTGCCTTAAGAAAAACAGTGTGAAAATTATCCAAATCAGTAAAAGCTTTCCTCGCAATTTAGTGTTTGGGAGTGCAAAATGCTGTGCACGCTGCTGACCTGCTTGACCATCTTTTTCATTACTCAGCATGTTTTGAAAATCAGCCTTCAGATTTGGGCAGCTTCGTAAAGCAGCTCAGCCTAGTGATTTGTGGTGAGGTTTCTGTAGGAGGATGCTGCACATAAAAGATTATGTTTATTGTTGAGTTGAAATGTGGAGGGAGTGTGATGGAAAGAATTAAAGTGAAATGAACCATACAAGATTCTGACTTTCATGTTGCTCTTCAAAGAAAGTTGATTTTCTTCAAAGTAACATGCTGTCTTTCTCTATAACCTTTAAGAAAGCCACTTTTGAAACTCTTTAGCACAGGAAAAAAAAAAGAAAAAAGTACAATTATGGTGATCTGTGGAACAGTTTGGGTTAGAAGAGAAAAATAGTGACAGAAAGCCCTGTGAATCTGTGGTATCTATGGGTGTCTGTTGGAGCACACATGAGGTAGTTAGGTTGAGTGGCATCATCTGCCAAAAAAGTTGAACTATCTTTCCTGCTGTAGAACCTTTTTTCTGTTTCTCATAACTTTGGCAAATTTTAGACATATAATCTATAGTTCATCACATGTCTTTATGACACAGGCTAATTTTTTTTTTAATTAATTAATTGAGAATTAGACTAGAAATATCCTAAGATATTTCAGAAACATGGTATTGTCATTCTGGTTTTTAGCTGGGTTCTAGGTCCTGCTGAGGCAGTGTCCTTTTGTCAAAGATCTGCATTTTTAATGTCTTCATGAAAGCCTGCCCAAATTTTCTGTCTTCCAAATTTTGTAGTTTTCATCCATTCACCTGTGAAAACTTTAGCAAATATTTTTTCAATGTTCATTCAATGCCCAGTACTACAGTGTATTTTTAACAGTGACCTCAGTAGTGCTTGCTACATCTGCAGCACCAGTCGGAGAGGGACTGTGACTATACTGGAGACAGAATTAAAATTAAGTTGTTCGACAGGACAAAGATACTGTAGTTATCAACT